GTCCAGGTATGGAAATATTTGTACTCCTGTTTTCCTTAGGAATGCAGCCACAACCACATGCATTTTGTAAATACTTGCAGGGTCATGGACAGACTGAAAAGTAGGACTATAAACGGATAATGGGAGTCACTGACCATAAATCTTAGGAATTTTTCTGTGGCTTTGAGGATAGAAACACGAATCCTTCAAGTCGAGGGCAGTGTACCACCTGCCAGGATCCAGGGAATAGATTAGAAAGGCTCCGGCGATCATGCGAAATTTTATTTTCTTTACATATTTGTTCAGCTCTCACAGGTCTAGTAAGGGCCTAAGACCTCATTTTGCCTTTGGAATTAGAGAGTAGCATGAATAAAACCCTTTCCCTCTGAATAAAGTAGGAATCTCTTCTACAGCTCCCAACGTGAGACTGGACCTCCAGAAGGAGGACCACTTTGTGAGAGTGGTCCCTGAAGACGGACTGGGAAGGTAGGGGAGGAAGGGTAGAAACACAACCTTCAGTTTATCCCAGTTCCACAGTGCTTAGGACCCACTACTCTATGGTAATATGGGTCCAAGCACATAGGAAGTGGAATAGCCTGTCAGAAAAAAACAGGGATAGGAGAAGCTGGCATAAGGCAAACTGGTAAGCTATCCTCAACAGGGCAGTCAAACAGACTGCTTGGTATATCCACGCTGTCTCTAGATGAGCTCACTGTAGACAAAAAGTGATGAGGGGGTGGTCTCATATGACTCTTCCCTTTCCTCCTGGACTGGTCAAGTAGCCTAAATATAAAGGGCTGGTAACAGTCAGTGAAATGACTCAGGGCAGAATTGCTTTTTTCGTGTGGAGTGGAGTATAAAACCTCAAAAGACTTCAATGTAGCTCTGGAGTTCTTCAGACTGTGGAACTTATCAACATTCTTGGGAAAAGAGGGTCGGTATCTCAAAAGGGAGATCCTGCATATTCTGCTGGACCTCCTGTGGAAGACCTGATGATTGAAGCCACAAACATCTCTGCTCAGTCCTTTTGGCTGTTGGTGGCAGAGAAGATGGTTTTTGCCAACAAACCCTTCTGAGCTCTAGAATGACCTCATTTATAGGCAGAGCAACTCAGGAGGGCCTGGCTGAACACCAAAATTCCTCCAATCATAGAATATCAGAGTTGGAAGGAACCTCAGGAGGTCATCTAGTCCAATCCCCTGCTCAAAGCAAGACCAATCCCCAACTAAATCATCCCAGCCAGGGCTTTGACAAGCATGACCTTAAAAACCTTAAAGGAAGGAGATTCCACCACCTCTGTAGGTAACACATTCCATTGCTTCTCCACTCTCCTAGTGAAAAAGTTTTTCCTAATATTCAACCTAAACCTCCCCCACTGCAACTTGAGACTATTACTCCTTGTTCTGTCATCTGGTACCACTGAGAACAGTCTAGATCCATCCTCTTTGGAACCCCCTTTCAGGTAGTTGAAAGTAGCTATCAAATCCCCTAGTCTTCTCTTCTGCAGACTAAATAATCCCAGTTCCCTCAGCCTCTCCTCATAAGTCATGTGCTCCAGCCAGCTAATTATTATTGCTGCCCTCCGCTGGACCCTTTCCAATTTTTCCACATCCTTCTTGTAGTGTAGGGACCAAAACTGGACACAGTACTCCAGATGAGGCCTCACCAATGTCAAATAGAGGGGAATGATCACGTCACTCGATCTGCTGGCAATGCCCCTACTTATACAGCCCAAAATGCCATTAGCCTTCTTGGTAACAAGGGCACACAGTTGACTCATATCCAGCTTCTCATCCACTGTAACCCCTAGGTCCTTTTCTGCAGAACTGCTGCCTAGCCACTCAGTCCCTAGTCTGTAGCAGTGCATGGGATTCTTCCGTCCTAAGTGCAGGACTCTGCACTTGTCCCTGTTGAACCTCATCACATTTCTTTTGGCCCAACCCTTTAATTTGTCTAGGTCCCTCTGTATCCTATCCCTACCCTCCAGCGTATCTACCACTCCTCCCAGTTTAGTGTCATCTGCAAACTTGCTGAAGGTGAAATCCACACCATCCTCTAGATCATTAATGAAGATATTGAACAAAACTGGCCCAAGGACCAACCCTTGGGCTCTCCGCTTGATACGGGCTGCCAACTAGACACGGAGCCATTGATCACTACCCCTTGAGCCTGACGATCTAGCCAGCTTTCTATCCACCTTATAGTTCATTCTTCCAGCCCATACTTCTTTAATTTGCTGGCAATCTGTGAGAGCTCTCCTGAACTACCTCCACTGTGTGTCCAGGGAGGAAGACACCCTCTTCAACAGGTCTTGATAGGACCTTATACAACCTGATGAAGTGAGGATACACCAGATATCACCACCTCATCAGGTGATGAGGAGGAGGAATACAAAGCAAGCTGCAGTGAAGCTTTCTGGAACTCCTCCAACGGAGGTCTTGCTGAGGCAGTTTACTCTTGCTCGGCACCCAACTTGGCACCCAGGGTAACTTCATGAGCCTCCTCATGTGAACTACCCCGGAATCTACTTGGAGATCTGGAGGAAGAAGGGTTTGCAGGGAGGATCTGGGTGTGGAAGGAAATCTCCACAGATTCCAATACGGCCACTGATAGGGCACTGGACCAAGGATCCATGTCCCTTGACGAACATGGAACCTCTGCTAGAAAACATTTTGATGACGGAGAGCGATGCCTCCTATCTCGAGATAGACACACATTAGCCAACTTCCAATTCTGAAAATGAGCCTGAGTCACCCAACCAGGTGCAGAAGAGCACTGGCAAGATTCCAGAGATGACAGTATTGAGATAAGCATACTGGGCTCACCTCAAAATAGCACTGGACAACAGTGTGCAGAAGGATCTGAAGCAGTCAACGGTATTGAAAGCTGACCTATACCTACAAGTAAGTACAATGCAGTCTAAGGGGTTATTGGTACTGGACAAGATGTCTCCTATACTACTGGAGAGGCCAGTACCAAGAGACACAGGAGATCTCGTGCTGCCGTATATGCCTCCAATGTCATCAACATGGAGGGGTTCTCCTTATGCTGCTGCTGTTGCATTGAAGAGGTTGGTATTACAGCATCAGTCAATCGCAATGACACAGACACCAGTGCTGATGATCCCAATTTAGATGCTACTGGCACAGGTGAGTGCCTCCTCTCCAGCACTCTACTCTACTTCCCAGCTTGTTTACTGGTTGACTGTGCCGGGGACCTTGATCTCTTGGAGGATGAGTCCTTTGCAGCACTATGCCAATGTTTTTTTCTCCGTACCAGGGAAGGAGAGCTGTGCCAAGACTCTGCAACGTGCAGAAGGGCATTTCTGACAGAAGTAGATATGCTTGGTAAGGCTCTAATGATAGATGCAGGGCAGCCTTTACTAGAAGGCGACAGAGCTTCACTGCCCTAAACTTTTTGGGGCTTAAGTCCCTGAAGATCTTGCACCTGTCCCAGACATGACCCTTGTCAAGGGACTTTAAACTCTGAGAAGGATGGTCACTCACCAACATGGATTTCCTGCAGTCAGTGCAAGGCTTAAAGCTCGGAGACAGAGGCATTTCCTGGTACCAGACATCAGCATCCAGAAGAATCAGGAAGCAACAGTTCACCAAAGTACAAAACAACTAAGAAATGTAACATACACTAACCTAACTATGAACGAGTACCAAACTATATATAAGAGTACCAAACTATATACATTGAAAAGGACAATACTTGGAGAAACAAGCTAATACAATGACTACCAACCAAGGGTGATAAGAAGGAACTGAGGAGGATTGGGGATGGCTCCGCCCTTTATACTAACAAGCAACAGCATGAGGCAGCAGAGGGCACATGTGGCACCTGACAGATACCACTAAGGGAAAAGTCTCGGACTCTGGTGCACTGGGCACGCACACCTCTGAAGTGGAACGGACATGTGCAATCACTCAGAAAGAAGTCCATCCTTTGTTCGAAAAGCATTCCGCTTTTTAGCTAATGCTACTGTCATAAATATAAAGGGAAGGGTAAACCCCTTTAAAATCTCTCCTGGCCAGAGGAAAAATCCTCTCACTTGTAAAGGGTTAAGAAGCTAAAGGTAACCTTGCTGGCACCTGACCAAAATGACCAATGAGGAGACAAGATACTTTCAAAAAGCTGGGAGGAGGGAGAGAAACAAAGGGTCTGTGTCTGTCTATATGCTGCTTTTGCTGGGGATAGAACAGGAATGGAGTCTTAGAACTTTTAGTAAGTAATCTAGCTAGGTATGTGTTAGATTATGATTTCTTTAAATGGCTGAGAAAGGAACTGTGCTGAATAGAATAACTATTTCTGTCTGTGTGTCTTTTTTGTAACTTAAGGTTTTGCCTAGAGGGATTCTCTGTGTTTTGAATCTAATTACCCTGTAAGGTATCGACCATCCTGATCTTACAGAAGTGATTCCTTTACTTCTATTTCTATTAAAAGTCTTCTTGTAAGAAAACTGAATGCTTTTTCATTGTTCTCAGATCCAAGGGTTTGAGTCTGTGGTCCCCTATGCAAATTGGTGAGGATTTTTACCAAACCTTTCCCAGGAAGTGGGGTGCAAGGGTTGGGACGATTTTGGGGGGAAAGACGTGTCCAAACTACGTTTCCCAGTAAACCCAGTTAGAGTTTGGTGGTTGCAGTGGATATTCCAAGGACATAGGATAAAATTAATTTGTACCCTGGGGAAGTTTTAACCTAAGCTGGTAAAAGTAAGCTTAGGAGGTTTTCATGCAGGTCCCCACATCTGTACCCTAGAGTTCAGAGTGGGGGAGGAACCTTGACAGCTACTATTAAGGTTGCAAAACTGCTGCAGCTATTTTCACTTGCTCAACTTTCCAAAAATTAGGAACCTTCTTTTATATAGTCTGACTTTATTTTTCTTTTAAAATCATATTCATAAATGCCATGAATGTTAAGTTTATGCCCTTGTATTGGCATATCTAATACATCAACTTTAGCACAAAATATTAAAGTTATATATACATGTATACATGAGAATGAAATTAAGCTACCTTTTCATGTACTTGATGACCAGATCTAACTTTTCCAAATCCTTTTCTTCTATCAGATCAGTACAATACTTCACAACCTGTAGAATGTCTTCCTCCATGGGATCTGTAAGGAAAATATAGATACAGTAGGGAACTTTTCTTCAAGTATACTTGGAATCAAAGAAATTCTGCAGTGACTAATATTTCAGAGTCTGATCTTGCAGCCCTTGCATTTCCACATCTCCCACTGAAGTCATCTGAAGTTTTGCATATGCAAGGACTGCATGATCTTGAGAAATCTGGACAGCAGACTTGTTTTTTTCCTGCAAGAACAAGTGACAGCAAAGCTATTAAAAGAAAGGGAACAGACATATGCATTTATAATGGAATAGCTGTTTCAAAACTTTGGTAATGAAGGCAGTGATGTCCTGTAACATCAGAGAGACCAAAAAAACTGCAGTTCTAATTTTTCAGGACATCAAGGAGGCAATAATTGTCTCAAATTATGTTAAAGTACAATGCTACCTTCAGGTTTTAACGATTGTTTTATACTTTTGTTCTTCTGTAATTTTATAAAAGAATTTTAATATATCTATTAAAAAACCTTTCAGTTCACCTTTCTGATAAAAATGCTTTCTATAGAAGATGGTTTCACTTCTGTTACTTTTAACTTTGGTAGCTGCAACATGTTGGACAGAAAGAAGACTAGCTACAGTAATTTAGCTTGTACTAAGGCATGAACAAGATATAGGACAGAAAAGGGTAGCTTTTAGAAATGTTATAAAAAGAGATGCAATAAAGTTTGGCAAAAGCATAGATGTGAGAAAGAATGAAAGTATCATAGAATCATATAACTGAAAGGGACCTCGAGAGGTCATCTAGTCCAGTCCCCTGAACTTGTGGCAAGACTAAGTATTATGACTATTCCTGAGAGGTGTTTGTCTAACTTGCTCTTAAAAATCTCCAATGATAGAGATTCCACAACCTCCCTAGGCAAATTTATTCCAGTGCTTAACCACCCTGACAGCCCGGAAGTTTTTCCTAATGTCCAACCTAAACTTCCCTTGCTGCAATTTCAGCCCATTGCTTCTTGTCCTACCCTCAGAGGTTAAGAAAAACCATTTTTCTTCCTCCTCCTTGTAACAATCTTTTACATACTTGAAAACTTATGTCCCATCTCAGTCTTCTCTTTTCCAGGATAAACAAACCCAATTTTCCCTCATAGGCCATGTTTTCCAGACCTTTAATCATTTTTGTTGCTCTTCTTTGGACCTTCTGCCATTTGTCCACATCCTTCCTGAAATGTGGCGCCCAGAACTGTACTCCAGTTGAGGCCTAATCAGCGCGGAATAGAGCGGAAGAATTATTTCTCATCTCCTGCTTACAACACTCCTGCTACTACATCCCAGAATGATGTTCGCTTTTTTTGCAATAGTGTTACACTGCTGACCTGTATTTGGCTTGTGATCCACTATGACCCCCAGATCCCTTTCCGCACTACTCCTTCCTAGGCGGTCACTTCTTATTTTGTGTGTGCGCAACTAATTGTTCCTTCCTAAATGGACTACTTTGCATTTGTCCTTACTGAATTCATCCTATTTACTTCAGACCATTTCTCCAGTTTGTCCAGATCATTTTCAATTTTAATCCTATCCTCCAAAGCACTTGCAGCCCCTCCCAGCTTGGTATTGTCCGCAAACTTTATAAGTATATTCTGTATGCCATTTTCTAAGTACTCCAATTATCCCAAGGTTGTGAGGAAGAGAGAGATCAGGACGACTGGAAAAGAAACCAGCAAGAGAAGCAGGAGTACACAGAAGATATGGTATAGAAATTCAGTTTTTCCCATTTGGTTTTCCTTGTGATGTATGCAGAATCACCACGGGTATAATATTTGAAAATCAAATTATCTGAATTACAATTTACCTGAAATAGTTGTAATCCATTCTTTGAGCAAGGTCTTTACATCACTGAATTCAACAGCTCCAGCTAGATTTGGTACCCGTGATGTAATTGAGCCAGACTGTGCTGTCTGCAAAGCTGATGGGCCTGAAGTATTTGAGGTTGATGGAACTGGTTCCACCTATTCAGAAAAAAAATAATTGATATTGTTCATATGCTTCAATGTTTGTCAGACTGATTTTCAAATTTGTAACACCTATGTTTTCTGAGAAAAATACTGAAAAACAAGTCTTAATACTTTGAAAAACAAATACAAGAGGCAAGAAAAGCAGCGCAAGTCCTATTTAGTACATTAAGCAGCTACAATAACAACTGTGATTAAAGACTGATTCTAAGGAACAGTCATTAAAATAAAAAGATAATTTACTGAAAACTTTTAGTTTTGTTAAAATTACCTGAGATTTACCAGTGGCTGTACCTTCCTGATTTAAGAAACCATCTATTAGCTTCTGTGGGCTTCTGGAAGAAGCCACCATGTTTTTTGCAGGGCTATCCAAGAGTTTGTTTTTCAAAGGACTTTGAATCTTTTTCACTGGACTGATTTGATTTTTTTTCCTGTTTTTTTTCTTAGTTTTCACGGTTGCTTGCTTCAACTGTAATAAAGGATTCTTTGATACTGAAAAAGCAGGAATAATTAGTGGCCATTAACTTTCTAGTATTTTTTTCACTGAAAGCAAGAATCATAACACTTATGTGAAATCTAAGACCAATCATTCAATTTATCATAGACAAGACCCATTGTTTTTGGTTTTTACCAAAAAAATCCCCAGGTTTTACGAAAGTTATGATTTGTTTTTTCCTGATTTTCACCCTAACTTTGAACGACTCAAGTACATGAAAATAGTAATATTAAGACATCCTCTACATTACATGTAGTAGAGGTGGTAGTGGTTTTGAGTTCAATTTAATTCACATTAAATTTTGTTTGTTACAGTATCTTGGGGCTCCGATAGTGCCACTAGGCAGTACTGAACCTATGTATTAAGCAGCTAAACACAGTTCATTAAATGAACCACAGCATTAAATTGCTTTACCTTCACTATCCTTACTTTTCCCTATTTGTTTCTTTTTTCTGTCCTCCCATTTCCCCAATATTAACCCCGATATTTACCCAGAAAACTGTGAATTTAATTTTTTGCACTGATTTTCACCCATTTTAAATTTTTTATAATGAATACAGATTAATTCCGGGAAATTATAAACAAAATAAAACACAAAAATGAAGAGCTTTATTCTTAGACAAGATAACTTATTTGTATCTGTCATTCCAGTCACTGACAATGTTTCAACAAAACTTTTTAAAGGATATTTTAATTAAGTTAGTGCATGGGGATGACATCCAGCTTAATATTCTTTTTAACAGCAAACATTCTAGTTCCTGAATGAGAATAACCTGTTGAACCTAAATCCAGTCAACACTATAGCAGTTTTAGTCAGGCACACTGCTTCACTATTCTCAAAGCCGCATGCAACCTAGAGAACTCGTGAACACTTATAATGCCCACCAGCTAGAAACAGCAGCAAAAAACTTCTTCCACCTTTGACTAGCCAACAAATTATACCCCATCCCATTAGATTCAAACCTATCTACAATGACCCATGAATTGTGAACTCCAAGTTTGATTATTATAATGTACTGTGTAATTTGGAATGAAACCAAACACACACACAAAATTCCAACTGGAGCAAAATGCAGCAGACCAACCAATGGTCACCAACAGGGCGACAGAAGAACATCGCTCTGATGCTTTGGTCACTTTACTTGATCCCCACAGAATATTGGATCAATTTTAAGGTGATGGGGGGTGTAATCCAGACCCTACTGAAAGTCAATGGCAAAACTGCTATTGACTTTAATGGGGACAGAATTTCACCCCAGTCCAGATGATTTTACATAAGATTTGAGCAAAGCATACCACAAGAAAAGGGAAGGGGACAAAAGAAGGGAAGGTGTCCAATCTCTAAATGAAAAGCTGGGAAAGGCATTTTTCAAAATTGAACTTCTAGATCCTTGTCTTTACTCTCAAATTCTAATTGGAAATGTATACACACGCATGTCTCATGGAAGAAATGAGAAACCCAAGAAAGAAATAAAACCCAAAACATTTGGTGGCATATGCCACAGAAGCAATGGAAATACTACTAAGTATTTTGTAGCAGTTTTCATCAGCAGATCTCAAAATGCCTTTTAAACCCATTAACCTTGTTTTAGAGAAGGGGGAAATGTGGGACAGAGAGCTGAAGTGACTTGTCCAAAATCATCCAGCAGGCCAGAGGCAGAGTCAGGGACAGAAGCTAGGTCTCCTGAGTCCAAGTCAGTGCTCTATCCACTCATAGGCACTGAACTGAACATTCAGCTTAAACTAAACAGTGAGTTCTATCTTCAAGTCATGGGAAATGCAAAGTTGACTCTTAAATTAGGGCCTCATTCTGCAAACACATTTGTAACTAGTCCCATGAAGTCAACTGACTAGCAAAATTACATGCATAAGTATTTGCAAAATGGTATATTAAATTTGGCAAAAACTGACAGCCTGCGAAAAGCAAAGGCAGTGATTCAACTGAAGATACAGTGGAACAGTGACAGTGTGAAAGTCACTTCTAACGATACAAACGACTGTCTTGACTACTCTGCTTTGTCCTCCAATTTGCTTCTTTGGGCACACTTTTTGGAGAAAGCTGGCTTGTTCTACCTAGTCACTTTGAGATCAGATAGAATAGTCCCTAACAAAATAGTTGGAATGTAGAACAGAAGTGACAGTCCTGTAGCAGCTCTTGGTTATCTCAGATTTTAGGCACACATATGCATTCAATCTATACCTATACCCACCCACTATTTTCCCTTTGTATTGTCAGAAGACTAGATCAACCAATATAACAGAGCCATGCTCCTTGGAAGAACAGGGGAAGAGAGGATCTTTAAGTCACTTTTATGCTGCCTTGATCCTGGGACCATACAAAAAACAATCGAGTCCCTGGCATAATTTAGAGCATACTTATTCTTAAACCTATCCCCAGAACAACAAACCTGGATTGGACAACAGGACTGGGGCCAAAATGTGTAACAATGTTCTTAGACTGTGGTATTTTTAGATGCATTAGTTGTATTTTGCAATTTTCTTTAGGATTGCAGAAAGTCCCTTCAAATCTTAGAATACTCCAGATACAAGACTGATGTACATTCAAAAAAATTTTTTATGACTCACCAAAGGTGCTGATCGGTTGCTGATAAATTATGTTCTCTGACTGCTTTTGCCTTTGATCATATGCATCTTTAAGTTCCTCTTGCAGCTCAGGAGGTAGAGCAGCAAAAACCTCTGGGTCCACCTGAAGAATGAGAAATAGTTCATTAGAGGTTTTTCTACTGGTGACAACAGTGTTTGATGTTTACTTTTTATTGTTTACCCACATGAGAAAGGGATTTGCGTTATGTGTCAATCATATTTAGATAAATTTAAAATATTGTAAGATATCTTCTGTTTGCATTTATATATTTATATACACACATATACACACACACATATCTGTCAACAAGTGAAAAGCTTAAATTATTTTCCTTTCAATATTTAAATTTTAAATACAATTTATTTTACAACTAATTTGCTTAACAACATTTATAATAAATCAACTCGATTTAAATAACATGCTCAGAGGTGCCAAATCAACAATTGTTTTGATTATTTTCATAATATATTTAATACACACTTGCTGAATATTGTGGGCGAAGCTGTGCCTTTAAGACACACATACCCCTGTAATGGGAGCATGTGCAAAACAACTCCTTCCCAGGGAGAGGCACCCAGAAGCATTCCCTCTCCACCCTTATCCTCAAAGACAAGTAGGATTGACATCTGGCTCCTTCTAGTTCTTGCACCCGGCAATTTTTTAGGCTGGTGCTTCCCGAATGGAGCATCTTGGAAGCAGCCTTGCACCTCCTTGAGTGCAGGGGCTACAAATCTAGTTAGATGAGTTATGCTGGATTTGGAGGGGAGTGGGGTGGATAGGAGCCTTCCTTCTTCCCTATGCTAGTACCCTTTGATTGTACAGATTTTCACTTTTGGATGAATAATCTTCTGTCATTCATCATCATCTTGACTGGGCCAGAGCTTGAGTACAGATATACAGTATACACACCTGATTATCCGAATAGAAAGGACGACTTGGATTTTATTTGGCTAATTGGGAGTTTATAACAGAGAGGGCAGAAGCAGCAGCGCAGCAAGACCTCTGCAACTCTGATGTCATGTCCCCAGTCACTTACTCCCATGACAGCAGGACTGCAGAAAGCTCCTTGCACTGCCACTCCTGCGCGTGCGTGTGTGTGTGGGGTTGTGCTCCTAGGGGGGCAGAAAGGATACTGCTTGGCCAGGATACTACTTTACTCTGCCAGGACCCTGCCTTCCCTGCACGTTGGGCTAGCAGGGATAGGGTGTCACCGGTCCCGCATCAGTACAAGGAGCCCTCTGCAGCTCTGCGGTCATAGGAGTGAGTGAGCAGGGCTATGGTGGGGGAGCTGCAGCGGGCTCCCTGTGTTGCCGCAGGAGCCATTCAGCAGCAGCGTGGCCTCATCATTGCTGGGGGTCTCTGGTCTATTATCTGAACCTCTGCATCTGTCCTCTATGGGAGACAAGGAAGGGATTCAGAAAACACAGAGATTCAGATAACAGGATTTCAGAAAATCAGGATTATACTGTAGTGTATTCTAGATTTTTCTGGAACATTCAGATGAAGTTTCATGAGCCAGTAGAAATACTGTATGTGATATTATTCTCTAGTTTTGAGTTGCTCAATGTTTTAAAAGTTTCAAATATTTGCCTTCTTAAGTTTTCAGTGCAAAAAAGTGAGTGAACTATTTACGCTAAGGGTGAAACGTATACTTTCCTCCATTATAAAAAAAATCTTGTGAACTTTCTGACATGCTCTAAAAGCTAAAATGGGTGAGTGCAGAAAGTAAATTTGGCAGGGAGACGGACTTTACTAAGAATTGTTTTTGAGTTTTCCAATGAAAATGGTTAGATTTTGGCAAAGTTATGAGGCGTTCAAAACCAACCCGTACATGACTATTACATGTTATTTATAGGCTTAGAGGGTTAGATTTTTATTGATAAATGTTGGTAAACCAGTAATTTCTCTGTACACACACACACAAACTGACGAAATTATACTTCCATAGATAATAACAGAAACGTACAGATAGGAAAAGTAAGAAAAATGGTGCTTGAGAACTTATCAAAGTTTGATTTAAGCATATTAAGTGTGTATATTTTGACATGTGATGTTGACAATTTATTTTTTAACAATTATCAAGCTTTAAATTTTTGAATCTCAATGTCTACTGTCATTAACTAATTATTGTCTGACTTCCCTCCATAATTTCCCACAATTGTGAAAATTTATAAATCAATAAAAATAGAAAAATGCTTAAAAATAAACACTGATAGCATTATCCATCAGATTATAAAAAAATAAAAACAGAATTCTGCCAAGCCTGGTAGTAGTTTTAACAACAATGGCATTTTTTTCTTCAACTGAGATCTACAAATATTTGTATGGAAGACAGGCTGCACAGTTCACACATACCAACTTACCCCTCTAATGAATACTCACTTCATATAAATTGTGCATCTGCTTACAAAGGTAAATCTTGATGCACCTGGCACAGATTTTTTCAGTTTTGAAAACTCTTCATGCCAAGCACAAAGTTTTCAACACATAAGACATGCAGTAAATAAGGTAAGTTTTGGACGGAGTCTGGCCCTACTGAATGCACACCTTGTATTTGATAGCACATTACAGTGGAATCAAGCCGAATATTTCCAGAACTTGGAATGATTTTTAAGAACACAGGTATTTCTATTAAAAATATATTTTTTTAAAAAGTTAAAGCTGAACGCTTAAGCACCCAAGAATCAGGAAATTTGCACATGCAGTATGAACTCGGTCCCTCTGGGTACATGCATTGCAACAGTCTAATTATATTCTCTCATAACTATTTCTCAAATAAAATCATATACAGAATATTTTATTTTTACCTGTGCGAGAGCACACCCACCCTCAATTGCTTAAAAGGTGCACTTTGTAAGTTGCACTAAGAGATAGTGATCCAAACTAAAGGTTGAATGTACAAAATTAACTAATTTCCTGACTCTTAAGTAATTATCTGTGCAACCATAATGTCTTACATGTAGCTTTAAAAAAAACTGAACAAAAAGTGAACCTTGTATATTTTACATAAATAGTTCTCAAACTTTCTGATGGTATTTATGCCTGTAATAAATTATTAATAAGGTGATTACAATATACGGCGCTTTCAGGCAAAACAAATCTATTGTGAAATTAAGAACTCATAAGTGACCTCTCCTTATTAACTCATCATACAAAACATCAGTTTTTTTATGTGCTGTTTACATTCTCAAAGTGATTTACCATTTGAAATCACAAAGTAGGAGGTGCAAATTTGCTAATGATAAAAAAAAAAAGTTACTAACCTTTGTGTAACTGGTTTCAGAGTGGTAGCCTGTATCAGCAAAAAAACACGAGGGGTACTTGTGGCACTTTAGAGACTAACAAATTAATTTGGGCATAAGCTTTCATGGGCTAAAACCCACTTCATCAGATGCATGCAGTGGAAAATACAATAGGAAGATATATATACTCAGAGAACATGAAAAAATGGGTGTTGCCATACTAATCATGACAAGACAAATTAATTAAAGGTGGGTTATTATCAGCAGGAGAAAAAAACATTTGTAGTGATAATCAGGATGGCCCATTTCAAATAAACAGTGACAAAAAGACGTGAGTAACAGTAGGGGGAAAAAAATTAGCATGGGGAAATAGCTTTTACTTTGTGTAATAACCCATCCACTCCCAGTCTTTATTCAAGCCTAATGTAATGGTGTCCAGTTTGCAAATTAATTCCAATTCTGCAGTTTCTCGTTGGAGTCTGTTTTTGAAAGTTTTTTGTTGTTGGAGAATTGCAACTTTTAGGTCTGAAATTGAGTGACCAGGGAGGTTGAAGTGTTTTCCGACTGGTTTTTGAACGTTATAATTCTTGATGTCTGATTTGCGTCCATTTATTCTTTTGCGTAGAGATTGTCCGGTTTGGCCAATGTACATGGCAGGGGGCATTGCTGGTACATGATGGCATATATCACATTGGTAGATGTGCAGGTGAACGAGCCCCTTATGGTGTGGCTGATGTGATTAGGTCCTACGATGGTGTCCCTTGAATAGATATGTGGACAGAGTTGGCAACGGGCTTTGTTGCAAGGATAGGTTCCTGGGCTAGTGTTTTTGTTGTGTGGTTGCTGGAGAGTATTTGCTTCAGGTTGGGGAGCTGTCTGTAAGCGAGGACTGGCCTGTCTCCCATGATCTGTGAGAGTGAGGGATTGTCCTTCAGGATAGGTTGTAGATCCTTGATGATGCGCTGGAATTGGTCTTGTTACAGTTGGTATGGCAACACACATTTTTTCATGTTCTCTGTGTGTATATCTCTCTCTCCATATATATTATATCTATCTATCTTCCTACTGTATTTTCCACTGCATGCATCCGATGAAGTGGGTTTTAGCCCACGAAAGCTTATGCCCAAATAAATTTGTTAGTCTCTAAGGCGCCACAAGTACTCCTCGTTTTCTTTGTGTAACTGTTGTTTTTCAAGATGTGTTGCTCACGTCCATCCCACGTTAGGTGTGTATGCGTCACGTGCACAGTTGCTTGAGATTTTTCTCTCAGTGGTATCCACTGGGCTAGCTCTAGTGCTCTCTGGTGCCATGTGCTCCTGTGCCAGTGTAAGGCGCCCAGCCGGCTCCACACCCTCTCAGTTCCTTCCTCCCAGCTAACTCTGGCAGAGGGGCAGGAGGGTGGGTCATGGAATGGACATGAGCAAGACATCTCGAAGAACAGTTATGGAAAGGTTAGTAATAGCTTTTTCTTCGAGTCATGTCCATTCCACATTAGGTGCCTCCCAAGGTGGGCTCGGAGTTCAGAGACATACAGATTGTAACACTGCTCTACCAAACTTGGCATCATCTCTAGCTTGCTGGGTGATGGCATAATGAGAGGAGAAGGTATGTATCGATGACCATGTCGCTGCTCTGCAGATGTCTTGGATCGGGACCTGGGCCAGAAACACCACTGATGAAGCCTGAGCTCTCGTTGAATGGACAGTCAAGATGGCAGGAAGTGGGACACCCACCTGCTCATAGCACATACAAAACCAGGAAGGGATCCAAGATGAAATTCTCCAGGCCGAAACTAGTAGGCCTTTCATTCTGGCTGCTACTGCCACAAAGAGCTGTGTGGATTTACGAAACAGCTTGGTCCTCTCAAGGTAGAAAGCCAGGGCATGTCTAATATCCAGCATGTGGAAACGCCGCTCCTCCGATTTTGTGTGTGGTTTTGGGGAGAAAACCTGATTACTATGAAGCTGCGAGACCACCTTTGGGAGGAATGCTGGATGGGGGCACAGTTTAACCTTGTCCGTAAAAAACATTGTATACACGGGTTGTGACGTAAGGGCCCTCATTTCTGATACCCCTCCTGGCTGAGATAATCACCATCAGGAAGGCAATATTCCAGGAGAGACACAACAGAGGGCATGATGCCAGTGGCTCAAAGGGAGGGCCCGTGATTCTGGACAGGGATGAGAGTTGACTTGCCCATTTATCAATACGCCCAGGGCTCAGAAGGTAGCTTGGACCAGACTGATGCTGGCTCTCACATGGGCCTCCGACCAGCTCTTGATCAGCCAGTTGTCGAGGTAAGGGTAGACTGATACACCTTGCCTTCACATCATGCAGCTCTGAGTATTGGTACCGGGCTCAGTACTGGAATCCGGGTGGCACAACGGAGCGGCCCTTCTCTCTGACACCACTGTGTATGAATGGCTGGAAGGCACTCCCAGTACCAGGAGAAAATCCCATGGATTCCTACATAAGCCACTGCCCACCAGGCCACCGGGATCTGATGAAACATAGGTTGGGTACTGGTATTGGCCCCTTGATTGGGTGCTGACTTCACCTCTGATCTTGAGGAAAAGTCAGTTTGGAGGGATTGTAGGGGGCTGGAACCCCTTGCCTCTGTCAGCCAGTGCCAAGGGTTCAGGGAACGGTGCTGGAGCAACAAATTCTTTGCTGACATCAGCAGGGTCAGTTTCCCTCTGGTTGGTACCAGTGGACTCAGTGCCGGATAGGAGCTCAAGACAACATGCTCCCTTCTGCTCGATGACCTCGTCGGTGCCAGAACGTGCTCTGCCAGAGTCGGCAGTACTAGGAGAGCCATTTGGTCCCTGGCCACTGCAAATGTCTCCAGGGTGGACAGCACTGAGATCCTGCTGGTGCCATGATGACCTCCCAGTGTCGGTGGATGGTCCTGTACCAGACTCAGCGGCACCTGTGAGCAGGATGGAGTCGATGGTGTCACAAGCAGAGTGGGGGTAAAGGAGTGGCCAGACACAGGTTGCGCACTGCTGCACTCTCCGTGTTTGTCCTTCCTCGATTCTGGGGAATGTCCCCTCTTGGATCGTTGTTTCTTGTGTTTTTTCCTCAGCACTGGTGAAGGGGAATGGAGCCAAGAGACCAGTGCCACTGGAGGAGCACTCCACACCAATGTCTGACCAGCTTGGCTTTGATACTGGTCTGAGCCTGGCTTCCATCAGGATAGAACTTAGCCTAACATTCCTGTCCTTTTTCATATGAGGCTTGAACTGGCAGTAGATCTGGCAATGCTCTCGAATGTGATCCTCCCCGAGACACTTCAGACAGCTGGAGTGCTGGTTGCCCACCGGCATGGGCTTGCCACAGGAGGCACAGGATTTGAAGTCCAAAGACTGGGGGCGGAGGATGCCCTTCTAAGCTAAATGTGGAAGGTTTAACTATATACACTACTACTAAAAGAAATACCTGTAAATACCTGTATTCTTTACTACTTAAATGCTCTGCTTTAAGCTTCAAATCTTGCTAACTTTTATAGCTTTTTCTCTATTCCAAATGATTACTACAGAGGCTAATTGAAATGAATTAAACCTATTTGGATTCTTACAATACGAACCTTAGAATTAACAAGTGAAACTTACCACAAATTTCCCAATGAACAAATCAGTCACCTTATTAACCAGGCACCCAACTCATATAAAAGCAATTCAGACAAAAGTGATGTAGAGTTGAAAAAAATGTACCTAATTAAGTAATAAGAAACTGCAGTGCGTAAATTGTGTAATAATTTACATCTGCTGAGTTGTTATAACTAAAATCCTTCACACTTGCAGCAGAATGACAGTAATATTTCAATTTATGGAGTGTACTACTGTACTAATTCATTAGTAGTTTCAAATATAAATAGCTTTTTTTTTTTTAAAACACATATGGACAAATTGGAAAGGGTCCAGAGGAGAGCAATAAAAATGATAAAAGCTTTAGAAAATCTGATTTATGAGGAAAGGTTAAAAAAATTGGGCATGTTTAGTCCTGAGAAAAGAAGACTGAGGAGGGACCTGATAACTGTCTTCCAATATGTTAAGGGCTGTTAAAAGAGGACGATGATCAATTTTCTCCAAGTCCACTGAAGGTAGGACAAGAAGTAATGCACTTAATCTGCAGCAAGAGAGATTTTGGTTAGATATTAGAAAAAACTTTCTAATGGTAAGGGTATTTAAACTCTGGAAGAGGCTTCCAAGGGAGATTGTGGAGTCCCTGTTATTGGAAGCTTTTAAAAACAAGTTGGACAAACACGGTCAAGGATGGTCTAGGTTTACTTATTCGTTCAGTGGCAAAGGGGATTGGACTTGATGGCTTCTTGGGGTCCCCTTCCAGCCCTACATTTTGTCTATGATATATTCTCCCATAATGATGTAGTTTATGACATGAAGACATTCTTAGGAAAAGACCATATATTGTTTTAAATTAAGCTACCACTTCAATAGTAACGGCTTTAAGATCTGTTGAACTCATGTTACTTTTAGTTTGAGAACTTAGACTTGGATCTACAAAGGAACTTTGCCACAATGCCTAACTTTTAGATGCATAGCAAAATCACTGGAATCCACAAAGCCTGAGTTAGGCACCTAAGAATGGGATACACAAAAGCCAGGCCTCTAGGTGGGGCCACCTAAGCTAGCCAATGGGAAATAGTGATGAGAGAAGTATGTCCTAAGCCCTGTTCCTCTCACAGATTTCAGCACCTAAATCCAGGCTATAGGGAGGCACCTACTTCTGTTTGCAATCCACAACTGGAAACCCATCTCCCCTTTCTTGGAGTTAGACAGCTTAGGTGGCTAAGCTGTTTTTGCAATTTCCCACAAAACAGCTGGGGGGATAGGCCTCTATTACAACCTTTAATCCAGTGGTTAGGGTACTCAGCCAGTGTGTGGGAGATCCCAGTTCAATTTCCTTCTCTGCCTAATAGGATGTTTAGTCGAGTATAGTGTCCTGAGAACAGTGAATGGAGAATTAGCTCCCTGTTGCTGCGAATGAATTTTAAATGAAGTCTATAACAAGATCTTTCAGCATCCATCTCCAACATATCTGATCCGCTGAGACTGAAGAAAGGATGAACAGCCTTGGATGAATAGCATCCATCCACCACTTCAAGCCATCATGCTATAAACCAGAGGTGGAAAAACTACGGGCTGCGGGCCAAATCCGGCCTGTGGGACCGTCCTGCCTGGCTCCTGAGCTCCCAGCCAGGGAGGCTAGCCCCCGGCCCCTCCCCAGCTGTCCCCCCTACCCTGCAGCTTCAGCTTGCTGCACAGGCAGCATGGCTAGCGCACGCCCACTTCCTACGCTTTCCAATAAGCCTGTCCTGCCACTCTGAGCGGCATGGTAAGGGAGCGGCGGGGGTGGATAAGGGGCAGGAGGTCCTGTGGGGCAGTCACGGGACAGGGGACGGTTGGATGGGGCGGAGGGTGGGGGTGGTCAGGAGACAGGGAGCAGGGAGGCTTGGATGGGGGTAGAGTCCAGGGGGTCCTGGGAGCAGGAGGGGTTGGATGGGGGTGGGGTCGGATAGGGGGTGGGGTCCTGGGGGGACAGTTAGGGTTGGGGGTCCCGAGTGGGAGGCCTGTTGTGGGGCAGGGTGTGGATAGGGGGTGGGATCCTGGGGGGCAGTTAGGGGCGGGGGGTCCTGGGAGGAGGCAGTCAGGGGACAAGGAGCAGGGGGGGCTGGATGAGACAGGGGTTCTGAGGGGGGCAGTCGGGGACAGGAAGTAGGAAGGGTCGGATGGGGGAGGGGGCCAGGCTGTTTGGGGAGGCACAGCCTTCCCTACCCTGCCCTCCATACCGTTTCGCAACCCCGATGTGGCCTTCGGGCCAAAAAGTTTGCCCACCCCTGCTATAAACCACTTTTGCATTCCCCGAATCCCGGTCCTGCTGTGCACCAGTTCAGTAGCCTCAAGCAACTAATATGGCATCTAGGAATTGCTGGGACCCATGGGAGCTCCTGTCATGCCTCCCCCGACAAACACACACTAAACTGGCAGGCACATGTGTGGCATGGGAGCTACTACGCTAGCTTTATGCCTTAAAAAGATTCATCTCTAATGGGGTGATTCTCCAGTGGCTAGCTAAGCTGATTTTAGGACTGCCTTGCACTGCTGGTGCAATGTAACAGAGCTGCAGTGCAAGGAAAAAACTGTTCATACATCTCATTTTATTACAAAATGAGGGATAAATGTAGAGCCTTTTCATCATCAACAACAAAAAATAACTTTTCAAGACACGGATGTAGAAATACTGGCAACTATAAATCTTTAACATGTATTATACTTTTGCTGAGTCCAGGATAAAAATTCTAAAGGTGCAGAGGCCAGTACTTAGTGGCCCATGGGTCGGATCTGACTGACTCACAAATTCTAATAATTTTGCCTGGACAAATGAAGTTGTTAACTATTTATTTCTACAGATTCAAAGCTCACGTTAAAACCCACTTATTTTAGAGTAAACTCTACCTGCGAGAATGCTGGCAGGGCTATTACATTAATTCCTGCATCACCGTTTGGTTCTTGGAGGTCTGGTATTTGTAAGAGAACTGTTCCAACTGGCTGTGGCAGAAACTCATTGTTACACCCATTCATGGGCTCTTTTTTGCTATCACCATAAGTCTCTCCCTGTTGAATTGCGTACATTTGCTCTACTTGTTCTCTGAGATCAGATGGCAGTGCTTCCAAGACAGATTGATCTAACTGCAAATAAAATAAAATAAAAAGGTCATTAGATGTTTGGAGAACCAAGAACATAAGAACATAAAAACAGTTAAAAAGAGTCACAGTACTTATTTTACAAACTGAAATTAGAAGAAATTAAAACTCAACAATGGACATCCTAATTTGTATACACAAGCTGACTTGGGAATCTGACAGTACTGAATGTTGTAGCACAGTGGTTCTCAAACCTTTATACTGGTGACCCCTTTCACATAGCAAGCCTCTGAGTGCGACCCCCCCCTTATAAATTAAAAACACTTTTTAATATATTTAATATCATTATAAATGCTGGATGAAAAGCAGGGTTTCGGGTGGAGGCTGACAGCTCGTGACCCCCCCCACGGGTCCTGACCCCCAGTTTGAGAACCCCTGTTGTAGCAGCTGTATTATGTAAAAGGCAAAATTAAGTTAGTACACATAAATGCTTAGTCTTGTATTTTTACAAATAATATTTAACATAGTAAATATAAATCCTATATAAACTTTCCTTCACATTCATCTAACCTTCATTATAATCCTAAATAACTAATATGAATAAAATATTGGCAACATATATATTGATTTGAACATAAGTCTTCTATCTGGTCTAAAGCAGTTGACTGATCATTCAGCAATACAGCAACTGACGATCATTCAGTTTAGTACCAGGATATTTATATATATGCTCCAATTTACTTTGGTGTTACTAATCTGGTGTATTTACCGCAAGATGAGACTTCTCACTGCCATATTTGTAACATAGGTTTTGTTAGTACAGTCAGTAAATTTAGGATATGCTCTTCCCCCAAAACCATAAACACCATTCAATAATCAAGTCAGTTCTCAACAGTTGGTCCCAGGGGTAGATTTCCATAAAACATAAAATTACTAACATCAAACAAATGAAATGGTGCATCAGATTCCAAAAGCTGAAATATTTAATTGCAGCTCCCTGAGTGACAGAGAGTATGATTGATAATCACAATAGGAACATCTTAAATGTAGATTTGAATCCATGTTGCTCAAGATTATTATTACTGTAGCACCTAGGAGACCCAGACATGGACAAGGACTACACTGTTGTATTTGTAGGCCAGTGGTGGGCAACCTGTGGCCCATCAGGGTAATCTGCTGGCGGGCCAGGAGACAGTGTTTACATTGACCGTTGGCAGGCATGGCCGCCTGCAGCTCCCAGTGGCCACAGTTCACCGTTCCCAGCCAATGGGAGCTAGGGGAAGTGGTGCAGGCCATAGGGCCACTGGGAGCTGTGGACCGTCAATGTAAACACTGTCTCACGGCCCACCAGCAGATTATCCTGACGGGCCCTATGCGGCCCGCAGGTTGCCCACCACTGTTGTAGGCTCTGTACAAATACAGAACAAAAAGAAAGTCTCTAAAATGAAAGGCAAATAGCAATCTGTACAGAATGAAATACTGTATTTGCTGGTAAGTGTTGCAAATACAGGTTTCAGGGGAGTATTCCAGATGCTTTCTTCTACTGATTATCCTTAAGAGAAATTTTAAAATCTCATACCCAGGGCACAGCACAGGGGTATATAATTGCAGGATTTTATCAACAAAAGGAAATATAACATTAAATATAGGAGCTTATTTTGTTAGGTCACTGTCTATTTTCTTCACCATAAATGAGGTTGGAAAGAATAAAAGGAGAGCAACATCTGCTTCTATGCTTTGGTTCATTGGGACAATTTTGAATTTCTGAATAATCTAACCATTTCTAAGCATACTGAATTATAGTACAAGAAAAGGGGGCTTTTCAAATTCTATTACTTTTTTATTTTGTTTAATATAGTAAACAAAAACAACATGGCAAAATCTGAATTACATCATTTGAACCTTTTGAATTAGTTGTGTTACTAATTAATTAGTAAGGTAAAGTGTATCCTTGTGCGGAGCAGAATTCTTATTTAGCTCTAGTCAGGTATTAGGATGAGCAAGTGTGAATATCAGGACTATAATAAAAGGATAGTAACAGTGCTTAAGAGCGCTACCTTCATGAAAAACATAAATGGTACATTGTAAAAGTCCCCTTTAATAGTTCATTAGTAATTAGCCTATATGGAAAATAGTCCCTATTAATAACATAATAATTAAAGCTCAGCACATACTATAGAATTAAAAAAATACATATTTAAATTCCTAACAGAGTATTGTTATTTTTATTCTACAAGAGCATTAACACAAAAAAAGTGTCGTAACTCTGAGTTAAGTTTTTAGAAGGTCATGATTTTTAAAACCAAGGTTTGTATTTCTTTAAAGAGCTTTAGAGTTGCTGGGTGAAGGGTAATCTATTCAATACTCTGATCTCAGAGTATCTTCTCCTTTTTAGTCCCAGTTCCATTCTCTGACACTGTAAAAAGGAAGAAAAATACTGGAAGAATGACAGTTTTTCCTGTTGGGTATTTACCACCAAAAATAGGAACTGCATTCCTGTACAGTAATTACAAACAAATATGTATCAGAAGTTCCGTACCCCTCACATTTACCTGGGAAGGTGAAGGAACCTCAATACTTAAATTAAGTCTTGATTTTACGCTGATAGGAGTGTGTAAACCATTCCATTTGACTGCAGACTCAGCCTTGCTGGTAATGGGATTGAGACCAGATGTCAGATGGGTAGTGAGAGATGGCAGAAAAGTGCATGTTCTTGATGCAGACGATATTTCGAGATCCATAGCAGCCACAAATACTATAAATGTAGAAAACAATATACAGAAAAATTCTCTTAACAGTTCAAAAACAACTTACTTTTCACATGGTAGGAAACTTTAGTTACCCTATGCTTCTACTGAAAAACATTTGGTAGTTTGTGCAATAATGGGAATTGTTAGTGAGAACCTTTTTCTACTTTAAATATCTACCTTAATTATCCATCTATCTTTTCAAGATTTTGTAGAAGTTCCGATTCCAAACTAATTCATACATCCCTCTTTTTCAGGTGGGATGGAGCAGCAAAACATGCACACAAAGTCTGATTGCTTACATAACTTGAAATGAATTTCTGTTGAAAAATGTTCAGACGCAAAATCAAATTAAAATGAGTTGTGTCTTAAAGGAAGCCAATACGATCACAAACCCAAAATACAACTGACCATGGCAGTTTAAAGCATGCAGTGTTGTTGTCGCCGTGTCAATCCAGGACATTAGAGAGACAAGGTGGGCGAGGTAATATCTTTTCTTCGACCAACTTCTGTTGGTGAGAGAGACAAACTTTCCAGTTTATACAGAGCTCTTCTTCAGGTCTGGGAAATGTACTCAGAGCATCACAGTTAAATACAAGTTGAAACAGATTGTTTAGCAAAAGTAGTTACTGACCTTCTTTATGTTCTTCTTCTGAAGATTTCTTAGTTTTTTGAACATGTAGAAGATCGATAACTGAATGTGATCCCCCAGGTAAATGTCCAGATGGTACTGATGAGCGAGAGGAAACAGCTGAAGTGGTTTTATTGATGGGAACTAACTGATGCACCTGAATTCCAACCTCAAAACAAAAACACATTTTGTATCCTTATTTCTAATCACAAAGTCAAGAACAGTAACAAATAAGGGCAATTTAAACTGACAAATTTTATGGAGTTTTTTTTTTTTTTTAAATATATAAACTCTCCCAACCCGCCTGACCAAAACCATCCACCTACTACTAGAGGAAAAATATTTTGTAGGCACTAAAAATAAAATCAGCCCCCCAAGTCAACAGCTAAGAAATTACGAAAGTGCCACCCTTCTTCATTTCTCTGGGGTAAAGTAAAGAAAAAGTGTGTGTCAACAGGATCATATGAACAATTTATATAACTGATATTGGTTTTACTAAATTATACAAACTCCCCAAACTCAAACAAGTATATATATTGCAACCAGGATTAGAAATTTATACTAACTCAGAGAAGTACCCATGACAGCTGAAAGATGTATCGAGTGAGGGATACTATTTTTTTCTCCCAATTCACTGATCTAATCTATACTACACTTACCACTTCAGTATCTGAATATCAGACGAACAGTGAAGGTCCATGCCAAGTGCACAAGGGCAGGGTTTCCCCCAAAGTGCAATAGAAACAAACATACTTTCATTTTCTACCAGATACATTTCCTGCCCAGAAAAGCTTTCCTCACCTTTAATTTAGTCCAAAATCATATCCAAAACAAAACAGCAGAAGTATTTTTAAAAATTATTTTGCCCAATTCAATGGTGCACCTGGGTACCATTTGCAGGCTTATCTCCAACTTTCCTAAAATCTTGAACGGGAAATCCTGAGATAGAGTACGACAGGCCACACCAAGCATGAAATAAGCGGTGGGTGGATGGCTGCTATGACTTTTTCTATGTTTATATAGCTAGGAAATTATTCACTGCCAATTAGTTTAGCTGAAACTGTGATATTAAACTGTGAAACCTCTCTCTATAAAAATGGCCTGTTTGGGCTTCCACATTTCTATTCTAAAAAGATTACTAAATTAAGTGTACTCAGTTTACAAATAGGCAAGTTGTACTTTATCATATGTAAAAGTGGCAAAGAGTTCTGTGGCACCTTATAGACTAACGGACGTACTGGACCATAAGCTTTCGTGGGCGACACACGAAAGCTTATCCTCCAATACGTCTGTTAGTCTATAAGGTGCCACAGGTCTCTTTGCTGCTTTTACAGATCCAGACTAACACGGCTACTCGTCTGATACTTTATCATAAGTGAAACTATTACCCTGTTAATGTCAATCCAAATCTGTGCAGCCTAGTAAAGTTAATAAAATATATCCATGTAGAGCAGGAAACGTAAAAAACAGAAACTTGAACTCTTTGTTTTATTAACTCACCCCTCGCATATCTGATATATTCAGTTTCATTGTGTGAAACATGTTTAGTGTTTCTTTCCCGATTACTTTTGCACTATCTGTTGCATGGTCAAGAGTTACAGTTCTGCAATGAATAAAATACATTTAAAGAAAAGATGCATTACAAAATTGCAAAGACTTTACATTATTAATTCCAGACATCATCTCAAAGAAAGATATACTACTTGATTCCATGGAGGAAAATAATTTCTAAGTCTACAAAATTGGATTAACAATTTTTAGGAAAACTAGGACAAATACACTATAGAAACATTGATTAAAATCAATACTTATGAGAGATGATTACCAGTCTAAGACAATTTTAAAAAATTCTGGATTATTAAGTTTATAGGGAGGAAGGGAGAAACATTTTTGTCCTCAATAATTAACTAATATTAATGATCTGATAGGTGAGAAACCAAGGTTTTACTGAAACCATCTGAATACGTATATAGCAGCCAGAGGTGTAGAGGAGTCTGTAACTACACTATTTCAGTTTCAGTCTTCTTTCCTTCAAACCCTGAAGGATGCACTGGTGGCATCAAGCTCATTCTTTCCCACTCCTGCTTCATCTAACACCTACTATCTTCTCCCAATATTGTCTCATTGTTTCTGTTGCTTGGTCTGTATCTAGCTGTTGTCTTGTCTTATACTTAGATTGTAAGTTCTTTGGTGCGGTGACTATATTTTTATTTTCTATTTGTACAGCACCTAATACAATTGGTTGCTAGTCCAAGACTAAAGCTCGTAAGTGCTATAATAAAACATATAATAAACAACATGTCTCACAACTTTCTAACCTCTGAAGTATATTCTGTTCACCTTTCCTCTCCTTTTCTGTAAGTGCAGCTGTCATTTATTGTTTTTCATATTCCTTGTCCTTTCTTTCTAATTTGGACACATTTGGCTCCCCTTCCTTTCTCCTCCCATATTCTCCATTTTTATCCTGGATGAGTTCAGTTTTCAGACTGATGATTGATTCTGCTGCTTCTCACTTCTACTTTACTTCCTCTTCTAGCTCTAGATCTACTGCTCAATACACCTATGAAAGGGATCAGTACTAATACTTTTCTTATGGGACAAATCTAAGCAGTAATAATTGATTTGTGTAAAGCATTTGTACAGCATGCTATTTTACTTTACTTAACAGACTTAACAGAGACTATTAGCTTTGGAAAAACCCTATTGCATTCTATCTATATCAACAGTATTACATCAGATAGTTTTACTACATAAACAGGGTGCCAGAACTTCTCTTAGATCTAATCTTATTTTCAGCATGATACAAAAAGGTGCATGTTCTCAAGGTCACCTTTTATAAAAAAATTAGTATTTATTCTGTGTATACTTCTCCGAAATCAGTTTGAGAGTGTACTATCGTAGACTTTTAACCAAAAAAACAAAAACAAAAACAAAAAAAACCCAATCATTTTTGGATTTGCTAAATTCAAGGAACCGTACACTTTAATAGATATGTGGCAGGCAATTAGTGCTACATACTGGAGTAGTGTGTCAGTAAGTATTACCAATTATTATTTTCTTGTTTCAAACAAGAAAAAAGCATAAAGCCTCACCAAGGCTATTTTTTTTTTATGGTTTGTAATTAGCCTTCTGGAATCCCTGAAAAGATTTATTGGAAGCTGAACATCACATAAAGATTAGACTGGGGTGCTCTTCTGATTGGTGCTGCTGACTGTACCACAGTGCTGAAGAATATTAACGCACAATTGTTAGAATTGTGTCAAGGTCGGTATTTGCAGCCAGCTGCTCTTCCAAAAGTGATTTTGACTGACAAAGCCTTTTCGGGAAGGCTTTGCAGACCAAACCACCCCTGCTTATTTCAAGACCATCACAATGAAGTTCCTTTTCTACTTCTAAAGGAGACTGGAAGGAGAGATATTAGTCTCTAAACTCCTCTAAGATTGTAAGAGGGACATGTATTTAAGACATTTTCCCATGAAAATCCTATAGTCATGTTTCTATAGGAAAACAAGAACACCTAGGACTATATTAAGCAAAATGTATAGGAAGTTTGAGAACACTACTGCAACTATTATATAGTTATAGATACTATATAAAGTCCAATTTTGCAAGGCAAAAAGCATCTTTAATGCCCTTTATGTTTTACTGGGAGTTCACAGGGCTCAGCATGCTGCAGAAGTGGGTCCATACCTACATAATGATAAGTTTTTAATTCTATGCAAGGTTACCTGGCAATGTTGTCACAGATTCCATGGCCTCCAAATTTTGCAGGTTCTACAGGGGCCCCAGCCTTTCTGACCATTATTTTAAGAGTTAATCGTTTACCCTTCATCCCAGCAGCTTCAAGTCTATGTTGGATCTCTTCTGAAAGACTCAGAAGGAAAGCTTCTGCTTCCTTAGGCTAAAAGGAAGAGAAAAAAAAGCTCTTTATCACTCTCTGTCATGTATCTGATGTAGAGAGCTAAAATGTCTTTAAAAATTAAAAAAGTACTTTAGTTAATTTATTTCATGTAGTTTTGGCACTAACGGGTACACTATAAAGATTTTAAAAATAAAAAAGAGCACAGCCAACTGACTGCAGCAAGAAAACTCATAGGTAAAAGTGCCTCTTTTTTAACTTGCTCTGTTTTGCCTCTGAATAGAAGGAGAATTTTCATTGCATGCATACTGCTATACTAATGTATGACAAATCTGAGGATACAAATTTCATATAATTTTGTCATTTGTAGTCAGAGGAGCATGTTCTGGCAACATCTGAGGTAAATCACACACTTTTGAGATGTGGAACATTGAAAAATTAGTTTTATTTTTCTACAAAAAAGTGCAACTTCTTTGTAGAGTCATTTTAAGAACAGCCTGATGCACAAACTTCAAGTTGTTTTATTCAAGAGATTTTGATGACGACTAGTACGAACTCTGAAAAGAGGAAGTCACTCACCTTGTGCAATAACGATAGTTTTTCTAGATGTGTTTCCCTATGGGTGCTCCACTGTAAGCTTATCTGCACCTCTAATCAGAGATTTTAGGTAGTGGTGTCAGTTCAGCCTGCACATGTGCTCTCCCTCCCATGCTGCTTCAAGGCTATCTACATTGTCAGGGTGAACCCCCCTCAGTTCCTTCTCTACACAGAGTCCCTTATAGGGAACACCGAAATAGAGGGGAGGAGGGCAGGTTATGGAGCACCCACAGGGACATACATCTCAAAGAACCATTGCACAAGGTGAGTAACTCCCTCTTCTTTGAGTAGTCCCACTGTAGGTGACTTCACAGCAATATCCTCCTTGGAAGGCTGAGGCTTTGGAGTGGAGGTGGTTACTATAGAGAGTACTATGGAGCCAAAGACGGCAGCGGAGGCTGAATCTCCAGTCATCGCATAATGATCTATGAATGTGTGGACAGAGGCCCAAGTTGCTGCTCTGCAGATTTACAAGATAGGGACATCTTTAAGGAATGTGACCAATGTAGAAATTGACCTCGTGAAGTGTGTACGATTCCAGACAGAAGCAACAGGTTGAGCCCTTGATAAAAGTGATTAATGCAACTTGAGACCCATTTGGATAGAATCATAGAACTGGAAGGAACCTCAACAGGTCATCTAGTCCAGTCCCTTGCACTCAAGGCAGGACTAAGTATTATCTAGACCATCCCTGACAGGTGTTTGTCCAACCTGCTCTTAAAAAATCCCCAGTGATGGAAATTTCACATCCTCCCTAGGCAATTTATTCCAGTGCTTAACCACTCGGATAGTCAAGAAATTTTTCCTAATGTCCAACCTAAACCACCTTGCTACAATTTAAGCCCACTGCTTCTTGTCCTATCTCCAGAGGTTAAGAAGAACATTTTTTTCTCCCTCCTCCTGTCACAGCCTTTTATGTACTTGAAAACTGTTATGTCCCCTCTGTCGTCTCTTCTCCAGACTAAACAAACCCAATTTTTTCAATCTTCCCTCACAGACCTTTAATCATTTTTGTTGCTCTTCTCTGGACTTTCTGTAATTTGTCCACATCTTTCCTGAAATGTGGCGCCCAGAACTGGACACAATACTCCAGTTGAGGCCCAATCAGCGCAGAGTAGAGCGAAATAATTACTTCTCGTGTCTTGCTTACAATACTCCTGCTAATACATTCCAGAACGATGTTTGCTTTTTTTGCAACAGCATTACACTGTTGACTCATATTTAGCTTGTGATCCACCATGATCCCCAGATCCCTTTCCGCAGTACTCCTTCCTAGGCAGTCATTTCCCATTTTGTATGTATCCCATTTTTGGATAGTCTTTGAGCTGATATGGTGGAGCCTTAGATTTTTCCGTGAATGAAAGGAAGAGTTTAGGTGACTTCCTGAAGTCCTTAGTCCTCTGCAAGTAGAATCCTAGTGCTCTTCTAATATCTAGCATATGCAGAATCACCTCCCTGTTGCCACAGTGTGATTTTGGGAAAAAACCAGGAGGATGGATCTGTTGATTCATATGGAAAGTGGAGGCAATTTTAGGGAGAACTTGGAATGCAGCCTTTAAAAAGCCTTTGTCTTTAAAAAACGACAGCATATGCTGGGTGTGCCATGAAGATCACTATTTCTCCTACGCTCCTAGCTGAGGTAATGGCAGTTAGAAATGCTGTCTTCATGGACAGGTGTAAGAGAGAGCAAGTTGCCATGGGATCAAAGGGAGGTCTAGTCAAAGCTCTGAGGTTAAGATCCTAGGTTGGAGAGGGTGGTCTCATATGTGGAAAGAGATTCCCAATGCCTTTAAGAAATCTATGAGTCAGCGGGTGAGTGAACACTGTGTAACCATCTACCAGATGGCAGAAAGCCGTTATGGCTGCAAGTTGTACCTTAAGGAAGCTCAGAGTTCTGACCTCTTGAGATCTAAAATGAGAGGGAGAGAAGACAAGGTTGGGTATTAGAGTAGCAGCCGTGTTAGTCTGTATCCACAAAAAGAAAAGGAATATACACAGAGAACATTAAATCTCCCCACGGTATTTTCCACTGAATGCATCCAATGAAGTGAGCTGTAGCTTACAAAAGCTATGCTCAAATAAAGTTGTTAGTCTCTAAGGTGCCACAAGTACTCCTTTTCTTTTTGAGGTTGGGTATGTGTACTCAGAATGACACCAAACTTGGAATCATTTCCATTTTCGTAGGTAAGTATGTCGAGTGGTTGACTTTTGGCTGTGAAGCAACATGTCTTTCACCTAGTCAGAGCATTCTACCTCTAAGTCTTGGAACCAAGAAGGAGCCAAGACAGGAGGTGGAGGACCCACAGGTTGGGATGAAGAATTAGCCCGTTGCTTTGAGAGAGCAGGTGGGGAATGGGCTGAAGAGGAACCCGAGGAAGTATTGCCATCTGTGTCAGGTAAGGGAACCAGAATTGTCTTGGCCAGGAAGGGGCACTCAGAATAACTCTCACTTTGACTCTTTCAACAGAACCTTGGACAGAAGAGGAAATGGGGGAAAGGCATACAAGAGGTTCTTGTCCCATGGGAGGATGAGGGCATCTCCCAGTGAATGTTTCCCCAGGCCAGCCCTGGATCAGTAACAAGGACATTTCTTGTTCCGGTAAGTAGCAAAAAGATCTGTAGTTGGGGTGCCCCAAAGGGCAAATATGTCTTGAAGCACCTCTGAATTCGGTTCCCATGTATGGTTATGAGAAAAGTTCCGACACACTGTGACCTGTCACGTTCTATATCCCTGGTAGATTGACAGCGGAGATGAACACGTTGTGGTGGATGCACCAATTCCAAAATTTGAGTGCTTCCGTGCAGAGGGAGGGAGATCTGGCACTCCCCTCTGGCGATTTATGTAACACATATAGGTCATATTGTCCATCATGACCTTTGAGTAGGTGTTCTTGATGAAAGCAGAAAGTGTGCACAGGGCCCTTAGCTCTAAAAGGCTGATATAGAAGGTTGCTTCTGTGGAAGACCACTTGCCTTGAACCTTATGGTCGTGTAGGTGAGCTCCCCAGCCTATTAGGGAGGCATCTGTTGTTAGAGTCAGCGTTGGTGGCGGCTGCACGAAGGGAATGCTTGCTCAGACATTGGATGGATCTCTCCACCAGTCAAGGGAGTGCTTTACTGCGGAGGGCAGTGATATCAGTTTGGTTAGTCTGTCCCTGTTTGGGGAATATACAGAAGTGAGCCACATCTCAAGACATGTCATCAACATCCAGCGTTTGGGGTGACAAAGGTGCATGCTGCCATATGACCCAGCAGCTGCAGGCAGTTTCTGGCTGATGTCTGAGGGCTGGCCTGGACTGTTGCATGAGACTAGTCCGAGTGGTGAGTCTGTGTAGCAGAAGGAAGGCTCTCGTTTGTACTGCATTGAGGTCGGCGCTGATAAACTCCAGTTGTACCAGGGTCAGTGTCAATTTCTCTAAGTTGAGCTGTAGACCCAGCAGCATGAAAGTGCGCATGTCGTCTGGATGGCAAGTACAGCGTCTTGAAACAAGGGAGCCCTGAGGAGGCAGTTGTCTAGGTACAGTAACTCCTCAATTAAAGTTGTCCCGGTTAACATTGTTTCATTGCTGATCAATTAGAGAACATGCTCGTTTAAAGTTGTGCAATGCTCCCTTATATCATCGTTTGGCAGCCACGTGCTTTGTTCACTGCTTGCAGGAAGAGCAGTCCATTGTAGCCAGCTGGTGGGGGCTTGGAACCAGGGTGGATCGGCAGCCCCCCCATCAGCTCCCCATTCCCCTAAGTTCTCTGTGCAGCAGCTGCCCAGAAGGCTATCAATTGCCGGCATTTCAGCTGTCCTTCCCCTCACTGCTGTGTGCTGCTCTTGCCCTCTGCCTTGGAGCTGCTCCCCGGAGCCTCCTGCTTGCTGTGAAGGGCAGGGGGTGGGGGGAAAGAGGGGCTAATGTCAGGGTGTCCCCCTCCCCCATGCTCCCCGCTTAGGCTATTTCCATAGAGCATGGCAGGGCTCAGGACGGAGGGAGCTTCCTGGCAGCAGCTTCTGTCTCAACTTGCTGATCTACTTAAAAAGGCAGTGTACTTAGAGTGGCATCAGTGTACTTAAAGGGGCAATGTGCATCTCTCTCTCTTACACAAACGGTGTGTGTCTCTGTCTGCCATGCTATTCCCCCCCCCGCCCCACATTCGTGCTGTCTTGTAGAGTGTGAGGCTACATTAAAAACAATGGGTTAACCCTTGAGGGCTCAGCTGATTGCTAGCTCATCATTTAGCAGTAAGGCATTCCCTGGGACCCTGTGTACCAGTATTAAATTGTTTGTTTAAAACTTAAGAGTGTGTGTGTGTGTTATATATATATATATATATATATATAATTAGTCTTTTGTCTGGTGAAAAAAATTTCCCTGGAACCTAATCCCCCTTATTTATATTAATTTTTATGGGGAAATTGAATTCGCTTAACATTGTTTCGCTTAAAGTCGCATTTTTCAGGAACATAACTACAACATTAAGCAAGGAGTTACTGTACAGGTAAATCACATTGCCCAGCGTTCACAGGTGGGCCCCCTACAACGGAGAGAACCTTGGAGAATACGCTGGGTACAGATGAGAGGCAGAACTGGAGCACCCTGTACTGATAATGGTCCTGCTGGAAGTAAACCATAGGAATCTCCGGTGTGATGGTTGTATCAAGATGTGGAAGTAAGCATCTTGTAGGTCGAGGGCCAAAAACCAATTTTCTTGCTCTAGAGCTGGAATAATGTCTGCTAACATGACCATCTTGAACTTCTGAGCCTTCATGTATTAGTTTAATGCTTTTAGATCTAGAATGGGCCTTCAAACTCCCTTGACCATGGAGATCAGGAAATAAAGGGAGTAAAACCCTTTGCCCTTGAGTTGTGCTGGGACTGGTACTATGGCCCCTAAGTGTAACAGATGATCAATTTCCTGGCAAAGCAGGTTCTCATGAGAATGGTCCCTGAAGAGGGACAAGGAAGGAGGGTGGGAATTGGGGAGGGAAGTGAACTGAATGGCATAACCCTCTGAAATAATCTCCAAGACCCATCTGTTGCAGAGGATCCTCTCCAAACTGCTGGGAAAGAGGGCCAGGCAAATTCCAAAGGGGCATGACAGGTGTGTAGATGGCACCTGACATTGCGGTATAGTTGTTTGGGCCTTCGACCAACCCATCAAAAGTGCTTAGAAGAGGCAGTCTGAGAGGTCACAGATTGTGGTGCTGACTGCTTCTGATCCCTGAACCTCTTACGTTGTGGCTTGTAATAGTGCTGAGTGTGGTTACTGAGGAGGTCATGCCCTATGCTATGTCTGAGAAATATATCTTCTCTGTCCCGCAGAGTAGATTCCCAGGGAGCATAATGTGGCCTAGGAATCCTTCAAGGTGCGGAGAGAAGAGTATCTTCTCCGCAAAGAGCTTGGGCCCTTCAAATGGGAGATCTTCCACTGTAGTCTGCAGCTCTTTGGGCAACCCAGAAAAGTGTAGCCAATAAGAGTGTCTCATTACCAGTGCCATAGAGACAGAACAGGCCATTGTATCGGCTGCGTCCAGTGCAGTCTGTAACACCGTTCTGGCTACTAACTGACCTTCTCTGACAATCGCCTGAAACTGTTCCTTTTGTGTCTCCAGTAAATGTTCCAGAAATGCATTGAGTTTCCCACAATTAATAAAATTATATTTGGCCATGGAAGCTTGGTAGTTTGAGACTCTAAACTGCAATGTCGCTGACAAATATGCCTTCCTCTCATAGAAAGGTAGCTTTTCCAATCACAACCATATGGGTCGACTTGGTGTGATGCTGCTTGCCTCATGCATTAACCACATCAACTACCCACGGAGTTGGGTTGTGGATGTTGAAACAGAAAGTTTGCCTGTTTGGGAGGGATGCAGAATTTTTTGTCGGCTCCCTTGCCAGTTGGTGTCTTCCAGATGGACTTTGGTAGGAACTAAAATAGACTCATTAATTGGGAGGGCAATTCTGGGCAAGTAGGAGTTGTGCAGAATATCCACCAGTTTGTGATGTGCATCTACTACCTCCTGTAGGGGAATCTGCAGCTGGTCCACCACCCTCTTAGTAAGGCCTTGCAAGTTCTTGAAATCATCAGCTAGTGATGGGGAAAGGGCATTAAAGCCTCACCTGGTGAAGATAGGGAGAAGTTTGCTGGAGCGAAACTTCCCCTTCAAGACTTTCCTCCTTTTCCTCCTCCTCTGGTTCAGGGGCTCTGGACAGTGATGCTCTAGGAGACCATCAGGCAGACTCTTTCTGAGAGACACTAAATGCCCGTGAATTATGGGATTTGTATGTTGCCTAAGGATCCCAATACGGCCCTGGGGAAGGGGGATGAGTGGTGGGAGTGCCCAAGGGGGCCCATAGATCAAGGTTAGTTTGATGGACTTGAGGAAGACCCGTGATGGTGGGCCACGATGAGAGGCCAGGGAAATGACCTCCTCCTGGTCACTGTCAGACTTGTTACCAAGTAAGGGTGGCACTGGCTGGGGCATTCGTGGTACACAGCCTGGTGCTGAGGGCGAGTCTGGGTGCCAGGATGTGCTCGGTAGCAGGGTCCTGGTACCAAATAATGGGGATTGTGGTTCTTCCCCAACTGTCACATCTCTGGGATACTGGAACTCTTGTGGTACAATTGGCTCACTCGGTACCGTGGAGGAGTGTCCCTGGTACGTTGTCCGTACTGACAGTTGTGAAGGTGCAAAGCGTTCCCTAGACGGGAGCTTTGTCTCACCCAACTGAAGGTTTTCTCAGTGCTGCTCCTTTAGAGGTGGTAGAGTGTTGGTCTTTGTCCTTCGAGGGAAGTTACCACAACCTGACAGCTTGAGCTCCAGGTGCATGTAGGTGGTGTGGCAGAGCTCATAGCAGAAGCACCCTGATGTTTCTGGGTACCGTGGTTCGGAGTAGCCAGTACCAAGGTGGCCACACTGGGGAACCCCTCTGACTGGCCAATGACTCAGTTTGGGGCCTCTGAGCCCTTTCTCTCGAAACTTTTCAGGAGGAATCTGCTGGTCTTTTCGTGACTCTAACCCCTTTGAAGTTGAAGGCTCCAGGGATGATCCAGGGTCAGCACCGGAGTCCCCTGGATGGCTGAAATGTCTTCTCCATAAGGAGAAGTTTTAACTTCAGCTCCCTGTTCTTGCAAGACCTTGGCTTTAGCTAGAGGCAGAGGGAGCACTTCTAAGGGATATGGGACTCTCCCAGGCACGCAGAGGCAACTCTAGAAGCTGGGCATTCCCCTGGGGAGGGAGGTATCACCTTCTAGCAGTGAGGAATGCAGAAGAAAGTTCTTCTTTCCTCTCTTCTTTTATTTCCCCCGCCCTTCTTTTTTAACTGAAAGAATGTAGAGAGTTTTCTAAAGGTGCCTGGGGCAGGAAATATAAGCTAAAGTTCTTTTCTTTTTTTAATCCCAAGGGGATAAAATGGAAACACTTACTACTAAGGAGAACAAAAACAACTACTACTTATACTAAGGACACAGATAAGGAAGGGACAACTACTGGCTCCTTCAAGGCCAAAGGCAGTCAAGAAGGAACTGAGGGGGTTTCACCTGTGCAGTGCTAGACAGCCTCGAAGCAGACCACCAGGGAGGGAGAGTGCATGGGCAGGCTGAATGGACACTGCTACCTCAAATCTCCAATTAGAGGCACAGTGGAGTAGATACACCTGCAGCGGAGCACCCATAGGGGCAATACTTGAAGAAATTCAGAAGATAAGATTTTCCTTGACACACATGGGAGCCTAAGCTGTCAATTTCTAAGCAATTTGAGCGTTCATTTCTCTCTCTTATGATTGTGGCTCTAAACTTCCAAGTGAACTTCTGAAGCAGCTGCAGTACTTTTGCTGAGGATCATCGCCAAAGTTGTTTATACTCCTTTTGGCAAGCTGGACCTAAATTCAGTGGCTTTACTTAAGGATTCCTCAGTGACCACTGCTTCACAGTTTGGATCAAATAACCCCACACTGCATTTAGCAGCATTTCATCCCTTTTTCTTCATTTAATATTATGAAATTAAATGAAAAACTCCCAACTTTGATGCAAGAAAGTTTGAGAAATCAAGCACTCAAAAATCAGGAAATTACAAAAGGAAAAGTTTTCTATTGCACTCTTAGACCTTGGCCATGAGGCCGCTACCCATTTCATTTTCTGATTTCCAAGTGAAAAGTAATACATTAAGGTTTACTTAATATTAAATTTAATCTGTACTATAAATTATGAATGGTATGCAATGTGATCAAATTAGAATTTTGGTAGAAACATGGGTTCAAAGTTTCAAACTCTAGGTTCTGAAGTTAGGTTCCTAGGGATTGCCTAAACAAACATTTAGGTGTAAGTCTGTCACACACAAGTCTGCCATGCAGTAAGTGCCCATGCAGACTCTGTCATGCACTAGAAGTTCCCCAGTGTGCTTTAATGCAGTGGCTCTCAACCTTTCCACACTACTATACACCTTGCAGGAATCTGATTTGTCTTGCGTACCCCCAAGTTTCACATCACTTAAAAACTACTTGCTTACAAATTCAGACATAAAAGTGTCACAGCACACTATACTGAAAAATTGCTTACTTTCTCATTTTTACCATATAATTATAAATAAATCAATTGGAATATAAATATTGTCCTTACATTTCAGTGTACAGTATATAGAGCAGTATAAACAAGTCATTGTCTGTATGAAATTTTAGTTTGTACTGACTTCACTAGTGCTTTTTATGCAGTCTGTTGTAAAACTAGGCAAGTATCTCGATGCACCCCTAAAAGACCTCTGCATACACCCAGGGGTACATGTATCCCTGGTTGAGAACCACTGCTTTAATATACCCTCCTTTAAAATGGGAGTAGATTAAGAGCTTGTGTAGACAAACCCCTAGATTGTTGTTTTGATTCTAAAATCAATGAAAAAGGCAGAGGCTCCCTCCCTCTCCAATATGGCATTTTGTTTAAGAACCTTAAACAATATGTTAAAGAGTCTAACTTTAGGCACCCAGGTATGAAAATGTTGGCCTTCATTTTTATAGTTTTCATATAGTATTTAATTTCTCACCCTTACCATTGCACTAACTTCCTTTATGAAGGTAATAATTTTAACATAGTTATAATTAATAAAAGATTTTAAAAATGCAGTATTTTAAAAGATAGAAATTGGTTAAAAATTTGCACTAGTCTAGATATGGTACTATGCATTGCCACATGAGTAACCTGCATTTGAATTTCAGTCTGGTGAATCGTTCCCGGGAATAGAATGTTATGTTGAGAATGATGGATTATCAATAAGACTGTTGTTATTGTGGCTGTAACAGAGCGATGTCTTAAAAAAAAGATTAAATGAGGGCATTCAGAATATCCATGGGAAACAAGGAGGATCTTCTGCTGTGGGAGGAAGTCTTTCAAATATAATATTTAATCCTCCAAAACGAAAGACAGTTTTAGTTTACCTGAGTAAACCTTATACCATAGTTGATCTCAGCTGAAACAGATTTTCTTTCCTTTTCTGTTCGAACAGGTCTATCATCCAAGCCACGACAGAATCTGTAGAGCATCTGCCCTGTTTTTGGACCAAATTCCTTCTGGAGTTTTGACATAGTAAGATATTGTAAGTCTCCACAAGTTTTAATTCCCAAAGATGCCAACTTGGATTCCATTGACCTACCAACTCCTAACAAGAGAATAAGTAATTTTGTTCTGTTAAGTCTACACAATCCAGACAAAGTTCATTATTTTTAAAGCACGACCATTCTCTTTCAATCCTAAAATGCCCGGTATCCAGTTCAAATTTTAAGGTGGGATTGGGGGAAAAAGCACATTGGCTGCATTACGATTGACCAGAAACTTTTGTATCGTGTACAGTATTTGTTTAGTCTGTACCAAATTTTACAGTTACTGATGTTTGTATGCTTGTTCCAATTTCAAGACTTGCTAACTTGTGCTTGCAAGACATTGCTTTTAAACTTGTAACCCCATGGATAACAACAGTGTCTTCTACGCTTTGTACAACAACTGAGCACAAGGTCAGTATTAAGACAGTAGTCTGATTAATACATTTTATCAATCCAAAAAAGCTCTGAAGCCTTACATAATCAGAAACAAAATAAGTGAGATATATTTGCAACTGTACACAAAAGTGTTTGCACCTAAAAGGAAACCTGTAAAAATTCTAGCTATTTTCAATTGCTACTTGGTTGGAAACATGTTATTTCAGAGAGGAAAGACGGCTCAAATTATGAGTTACGAACCACCTGAAAATTGTAAGTATCCAAGTATGTTAATTTTATCTCTTTTTAGTGAAAATTACTGATTTATAAAAAAAGTAATAATTTACAAATTAATCATAACTTACGCATTTACACTACTGTAGATAGCTAAAGTTAGAATACTCTGAATCAGATTCCATCTTTTAGGATCTCCATTTTACAATTTAAATGATGTACTGACACTGAAAACATTAAATGCAAGTGACATCAGAAAACTTTAAAGGACTTTTAAGTTAAAGCATACTACGTTATACTATAGAAAATTAAATTTAATTAGATAAAAATGGACAGATAGTACAGGTTAGATGAAGAGGCCAAACCAAAAAAAGTTATGTATCAAGAAAAAAATCAAGCTTCTAAAACCTAATTGCCTTGGCAATCTATAGTGAGCTACAGTCAGAAGTGAAATAGACAAATTAAGTATTATTCTAGATTTAGCATTATACATTGAGGAACATATGGATAATGATGCTATTTTCAAATATTTTATATGTCTACTACAATATCCTTCTGTTTTGTTTCCTTATATGAAAGAAATCTTTTTGGAACACATATTCCTAAAACAGCTGTGCATACAGTTTGAGCAAGATTAAGTACCCATTTATGCTCTGTATTTCAGTTATTCATTAACTTCAGGGTCTTCCCTCTCAAACTGTGTCAGGTGCATACACTATAAAGGCAACATGCTATCCTGTTACATACAAGAAAGCACTTTGGCTTACAATTGAATAAATACAGTTGCCACAATTGAGCAAATTTCTACTATTCTTCCATGACACAATCCACACAGATTCCTGTACCTCAAGTTTAATGGTACAATAAATTAGAGATCTTTACATACAGTAATTCAATGAAAACAAATGTTGTCAGTCCTACTTCTATGTCCATTATGGCAAGATAATGTACACAGAAGTGTTAAGGTGTTGTAGTCCTATTGTAGTTTCCTTTTCCATTGTATTCTCCACTCACCATTCCATCCTTGCGTTGGCTAATTTCAAGGAATACTTCCTTCTTTCAACCCAAGAATGCTCAGTTTTCCCGTATCTCCTCCTCTACATTCCACTCACTGACTTCTACTTCTCCACCTTCCTCATTTTTCTCCAACCCTTCTCTCACTGGGCATTACCTAATATCAACAAGTTTTAAGAAAACCATCCATCTTTTTACCCCCTTTCCTCTCCCATTTTTCAGTCATGTCTCTTTATCCTTAGTAACTCCCTTTTTCTGGTGCCTTCCCAAACTTCAAAATTCTGTCAGTGCACACGCCTTTCGAAAAAAATATTCCCTTGATCCTGACACCACCTACAATATGATTTTCAACCATTCATAACAGAGCCAACTAACCAATCAGGCAAGCACATTATACTAAGCGAAAAGGAGTACTTGTGGCACCTTAGAGACTAAAATTTATTTGAGCATAAGCTTTCGTGAGCTACCTAGCTTATGCTCAAATAAACTGGTTAGTCTCTAAGGTGCCACAAGTACTCCTTTTCTTTTTGCGGATACAGACTAATACGGCTGCTACTCTGAAACCTATACTAAGAGACTTTTTCATTACATTCCTAACAGTAACTACCCAAGTATAGTGACTCAGCATGAATTCTGCTGGAGATGTAACACCCAGAAATTAGCAATGCAAAAGTATTCAGGCTGCCTGAAATACTAAACTGAGTCCATCCCTTGCCAACTCACCATACTATATGGCTTTGTAAGGTCTTTAATAAGGAATTTATTTTTAAAGAAGATACAAAGAAAATAATGTAAAATAACAAGAGAAATGAGAAGGAGCATTCCAGTATTCAGCAGATAATCCTAAACATGAAATATCTTCATTTTCCAGATTACATAACCTTAAATAATGGCGAACCTCTTTTATGTGAAATTTGAGAAAAATAATTTGACCCTTGATTGATACTGGACACCAATTTGCAACATATAGCAAATTCTAATGTCAGCCTGAAAAATCCCTGTAAAAGAAGGACATCAATAATTCAATTTAAAAATGTACCTGGAAGATTGCTAACTAGCTGACCTCTAATAAAATCATCCACTTCCTCCGGTTTTAAGTGATACTGTCCATCTGGTTTTGCTTTGCGGGTTGCCATTCTGGCCAGCAGAATATTGGAACCTGTAAAAGTGAACAAATAATTAAAAGATGCCTATGCTGATTTCTGCCATCACAAACAGCATTTTCCTAGTCAGAGGATGAAGAGAAAGGTGTAGAGAGGTATAGCCACATTTTAATCCCTCTCCAAATACTGCTTTGGATTTTTTATTTAGTATTTGTTTCTGCAGTCCATGCTTCCACTCCACAATTGGTAGGGTTTGAGGGAAAAAGGGAATTTTTGCAACACTAACTTGTACTTGCTAAATTAAAATAAAAAACACCCACTACAAAATACTTTAATGTATTAGTCTCCAGTGAATGTTCTACACATGTAGAAATAGACATAGTAGCTATCAAAATCGCTAAAAAGTAAAATTTCAGCATCTTTATACTGTAGATCAGAGATACTCAGACTGAGGCTCATGAGCCACCAGTGACTCTTTAATGTGTCTCCTGCAGCTCTTTGCAGCACATTATTAAAACAGTGTGATTTAATTATTTATCAATCTAAGTTACTATCCAATCAGGATACTTTTAATATGTAATTAACCAATTGTAGCTGATAAAAAAAATGTGGTCATTTTGCTGTGAGAATTATATAGTATATGAAACAATGAATTCTCACTACTGTGGCCCTTTTGGGTAATGGTGATCACTAATTTGGCTCCTGAACCCCTGAGCTCTGAGTATCACTGCTGAAGATCATTCTGAAAAAAGATGTTGCGCTCAACGTAAGTATAATAAACTGTCAATTACACTAATCATACTAATAGTTAATTATATGATAGAAATGGGTATTTCTCAGCCCCTTTACCTGCTAAAAAAGAATAAAATTCCATTAGTTTTACTATTAGAATGCCACATAAAAATCAGAGTGAGGGGGACATTTGGCACACTTTCAGAATTTTTTTTCTGCTTACAGGTTTCTTCATGTCCAGCCAGCTACCACTCCAATATGGTGTGCTAGCATGTCTCGTTCTGTGATATCATTGCTACCAAAAAAACCTTGCTGTAATATAGGGAAAACTACAAAAGGTTAGGTAAATGTCACCATTTACAATGTGTTGTTCCCTGTCTCTCCTGTCCTGCAAGGGTTACATTATTTAATATCTTTTTGGTAAATAATGATGGTAATGCAGACATCATGGGCACCATGCTAGCAATTATATTTATGACACACTCGATAAAAAAAAAGGAGTACTTGTGGCACCTTAGAGGCTAACAAATTTATTTGAGCATAAGCTTTCGTGAGGATTCCATGTCCAATTTTCCTTTGGTGTCCCATCCTCTGCCTGTAATATGTCACTTCAGATTTCCACCAGTCTACCTATCTTAGGTATATGGCTCCCATTACTGTAGTATCAAAGTGACTCACAATGTTTACTGTATATATCCTCACAGCATTATGTGAAGTGGGAAATACTACTATACTCATTTTACAAGATGGGGAACTGAGGCACAGAAAAAGTAAGGCCTTGTCTACACACATTCACAGGTTTTAATTTAATTGGCTTAGATAAAATGACTTAGTTAAGCCAGTGAAATCTCTGACTGTGTGGATGCTCTTATTTCCATCTAACTTAAATCTGTTCCCAACTGACTTAAGCTAAACCAAAATAATAAATAATAAAAATAATAACAATAAAAGACAGTTATCTCAGAGATAAGAGCATTCAACACAGAAGTTTTCACTGGTTGAGCTATATAATCAGTGAAATTCACATCTTCGGTTATATTGCTGCAACCTTCCCAAGGAGATAAATTACTTGCTCAAGGTCTCACAAAGTATGTGGCAGGCTAAAGAACTGAATCCAGGTCTCTTTCAAGTCACAGGCTTGTGTCTTAGCCACTGGGCCACATGTCCTTTGTTCCAAATCATTTTATCCTGGCCTAAGGTGATGTCCTTGTACTATTCCCATCATATGAAGTTTTAGAAAATCACTGGATACACAGTAATTGCAGACTGCTCTCTTTTTAAAAGTATTTGATATATACTTATTACTGGAACAAACATTTGACTGAAGGAATTGGTTCTTTCAACCAATGAAATTGAAATCAGAATATAAAAGGTATGCTCAGAAACTGTATTTTTTAAAATAAAGAATAAGCACATTAAGTAAGGCTATAAAAGGTTCCAAATATGTCTCAAGGCAAGGCATGACACAAACAGGAATCTGGTGAATTATATTTAAAGTTAATAACAATAATGAATAAGAGATAATGGGAGAAGTCTACTTCCAACGAGCTACAATAATGGATTTCAACTTAAATCAGAAGTGAATTTTAATTGTCTCAAAATATTTATTCCCAGATTCTCATTTCTATAATATGATTATGAACAGAGAGAAAGGGGGAGAGAGAGAGGGACAAGGAAAAAGAAAAAGCAAGCATGGAAAATTTTCAAAGATGTGAATTCACATACTGTACCTCCTACAAAACTGACTACCTCTACTTTTAGTGAACATGTTTCATGACCTATACCAAATCATGCCACTCTATAGCCCTTTATTACTTTCCCGTTTTATACTGGATGGTGATTGAATAGGTTTTATCCTGCTTTCATTTGTAAAATCTACTGGAAAAGATATCTTAATATTTATTTTTAAATGAACACGAAGTGTCCCAGAAGTGAAATTATACCACACTGTCAGTACTATAAAGGGAGCTGGTAGCAACCCCTAAAGTTAGGTTGCTTAACATTTTCCATCAAGGAATTTTTTTTAGTAAATTTATTTTAATGGCAATGTTTTGTGTATTTCATGAAAACTCACTGTTTTAGCAGTCCCTTATATTATTTTGATATACCCAAGGACGGCAAGTGACACTTGTAAGTAAATATGAAATAAAGTACTAACCCATCCCAACAGAGGCAGCACATTTAGTCTGGTCTTTGATTTCGGTGCGGATAGCACTTGCAAATTCATCAGGAGTCAGTCTGGTCTCTGCAAGGATTTCAGTGATATCTACTAGTGCTTCATCACAACTGACTGCTTCGATGTTATGAGTATAGCTAACAACACAAAGTAAAGGAGGTGAAACAGCAGCAACAGCTCACCATCTGTTAAAACAAATATGTAGCAAGTAAAGTCTTCCTTTTGTGGTGGTATTTCCCTAATTTTTATTCTCATTATCCCACACAACTTAGTTAAGCATTTAAAAGTATTACTAAAGCAAACTACGGTCTAGGATTAATTTCAGTATGCATCATGCTTTTAAAAGATTAGTTGGAGAAGGAAAGTTAAATATTTTATTCTTCACCTAAAAATAACTGACCCCTTTCCCCTCCCCCCAGTCAACTGAAATAAAGAAGTAAACTTTTCTTTAAATTTATTCCAAAAAAATTCAGTTCTTGAAAATGTGTGTCTAAAGAAATGTTGGTGTCTTGGAAGGGCAGCAGCACATACAACACTTGCCAATTGAAAGCCACAGTCTTCTCCCACTGAAGTCAGTGGAAGTTTTGACACTGACTTTTACAGGAGTCAGATGTTGATCATTTTGCAGGATTTGACCTAAAGATACAGAGCAACACAGGAGGCAATCTCAGTCTAAACTGACTACCCTCCATTACCCAGTCAAGATAAAAAGTTACTACAAAAGGAAGAACTGAGGTGGGAATGGTTTGAAAGGGGGAAAAAAATGGGGATAACAGACCCATGAAGATGAAAATCCTAGATCACATAATGGCATTTAGGAATGTAGCAAGTGAAAACATGCTTGATTGCTGCAAAAGATTATACAAATACATAATGCACTTTACCTGGCCAGTGTCTCATACACTGTCTGTGTAACTTCTTTGTATGCATGGAAGTCATATGGAACTGCTTGAAGACTTGGACATAGCTGTTTTGCTTGGCCAAAAAACATTCCATTCTTTATCCCAACTTGTCTAAAATCAAATAAAATCAAGTAAGTTATATAAATCTTCCCTTTTTCAAAAATCACATTTCAGATATTTACAAGGTAAAGTGTTTGTACAGCACCACCTAGCACAATGGATTTTCAGCCCATACCTAGGACTCCTAGATGCCACAGTAATACAAATAAATAATAATATTCATACTTTTCCGCACCACTACTCCAGGCAAAGAACAGATATACAGGAGTTTTCTCCACTCATGTAAATGGTCTAATTGATGCAAAAAGTGACTTGCACTATAGTAATGAAATCCAAAAATTATAGGATTTTGTGCTATGTGTCTCAAACAATGAACAGAAGTGGGGCTATTGGGAATATACATCGTAACTTATTTTAAAATTAAATAATATGTATTTTAGACAGAGCTTGCCATCTCCTGCTCCAAGCTATGAAAGAACATGAACTATGTAAAACAGTACAACTCTGCTAGAGCATGGAGAAGGAAAGAGGATCAATGTGGTTTATTTTATTATAATAGCACAACTGTGTAAAGTTACATATTGAACTATAAAATAAATAAAATCTTTGCAAAACCAAGCCAAAAAAAAAAAAAAAAAAAAAAACCACCAGCTCATCTGCCCTATAATACTCTAACGATGGTTCCATGGCGATAATAAATGCAAGGGTGTTATTTGCCATACGAACCAATTAGGCTGTTGATTAATCGCAGTTAACTCATGCAATTAACTCAAAAAAATTAATCGTGATTAATCACACTGTTAAATAATAGAATACCAATTGAAATTTATTAAATATTTTTGGATGTTTTCTACATTTTCAAATATAGTGATTTCAATTACAACACAGAATACGAAGTGTACAGTGCTCACTTTATATTATTTTTGATTACAAATATTTGCACTGTAAAAATTCACCTCATACAAGCACCATAGTGCAATCTCTTTATCATGAAAGTGCAACTTACAAATACAGATTTTGTTGTTGTTACATAACTGTACTCAAAAACAAAACAATGTAAAACTTAAGAGCCTACAAGTCCACTCAGTCCTACTTCTTGTTCAGCCAACCGCTAAGACAAATAAGTTTGTTTACATCTCTGGGAGATAATGCTGTCCATTTCTTATTTACAATGTCACCTGAAATGAGAACAGGCATTCACATGGCACTTTTGTAGCCAGCACTGCAAGGTATTTATATGCCAAATATGCTAAACATTTGTATGCCCCTTCATGCTTTGGCCACCATTCCCGAAGACATGCTTCCATGCTGATGATGCTCATTTAAAAAAAGCATTAATTAAATTTGTGACTGAACTCCTTGGGGGAGAATTGTATGTCCCCTGCTCTGTTTTATCTGCATTCTGCCATATATTTCATGTTATAGCAGTCTTGGATGATGACCCTGCACATGTTGTTCGTTTTAAGAACACTTTCAATGCAGATTTGACAAAACACAAAGAAGGTACCAATGTGAGATTTCTGAAGGTAGCTACAGCACTCGAGCCAAGGTTTAAGAATCCGAAGTGCCTTCCAATCGTTGGATCGTTATCGAGCAGAACCAGTCCTCGCCATGAACGCATGTCCTCTGGAATGGTGGTTGAAGTATGAAGGGAAATATGAATCTTTAGCACATATGGCACGTAACTATCTTGTGATGTCAGCTACAACAGTGCCATGCGAACACCTGTTCTCGCTTTCAGGTGACATTGTAAACAAGAAGCAGGCAGCATTATCTCCTGAAAATTTAAACAAACTTGTTTCTCTGAGCGATTGGCTGAAAAAGAAGTAGGACAGAGTGGACATATGGGCTCTAAAGTTTTGCATTGTGTTATTTCTGAATGCCTTTTTTAAATACATAATTCTACATTTGTGAGTTCAGCTTTTAGGATAAAGAAATTGCTCTACAGTACATGTATTAGGTTAATTGAAAAATACTATTTCTTTTGTTTTTTACAGTGCAAATATTTGTAATAAAAATAATATAAAGTTAGCACTGTACACTTTGTATTCTGTGTTGTATCAATATACTTGAAAATGTAGAAAATATCCAAAAATATTTAAATAAATAGTACTCTATTACTATTTAACAGTGTGATTAATCGGGATTAATTTTTTTTAAATCACACAATTAATTGGGATTATTTTTTTTAATTGCTTGACAGCCCTAAATATCAATATATTATATATCTTTGAGACTATATTTAAAACAAGTTACTGTAGGCGCTGGATGTTCCCCTCTTGACCAGGATATTTGGGGAATTCAGCACACAATTTGTGGGAAAATTACCGTTAGATTTGGTGATCACAAGCAATCAGGACTTTAATTTTATGCCTCATCTGTGCCTGACCTCCAATAGTACAACATTCCTAATGCAATGAAAAAACAGTGGTTCAGTTTCAGAGAGAAGGACGGCACCTATTAAATCAATCACTTTGTATGGAACCTCGGATTTTCTTTAGTGGCCTTGGCCCAACTGAAATATCTTAGCTTGTGAGAACTGATTAATACCATGTTTCGAGTTATGAGCTAAAGTAAAAAGGGAGAGGAAACACATTTTCCCTTCTTGTGCTGGTGCCTAGCATAATTTATTTAAATGTAATTTCTGAAACAAAGACTAAGTGTTCCATGTTTGGATGAAGTTAAGCAATGTAAATAGATATTTCACTAGCCATCTGTGAGCACTGTATGACAGAACTTTACAATCAAGATGACAAATAATTTCTATCTACCTGGCTTCATAACTACAAGATGCAATTTCAGCCATTGACAAACCAGAGATATCCAAGTCAGCTCCATTCATCTGTGCAGAATCTGGATTCTCCCCGATTGATGAGTCCAGTTTATCAGGAACTCTATTTTCTGCTTGGAAAAGAATATTTTACATTTTGTTCTTATATTATTGTCTTAATGGTTCAAAAGACTTATTTCATTCCAAATAATCAATGGATTTACAACTGAAATTTTTTCCAGCAGTTTCTGTGTTCATATTTTATGATGAGGAATTTCTTCACAATATATTGGTTTAAATCATCCAATAACCGATTAGGTCAACAAAGAACTTACCAATATATTAACACCCATCTATGGGGTTGATCTCTGGAGGACAGTAAAATATGATGCTACTGAAGAATAACTATACTTTCTTTTTTTCACATTATCTGAGACCAACATGTAGATGGCTAGTGGCCAATAAAATTCAGACTATAATAATACTGTGAGTTGAGAGAACCGTTAATACCCTTAACATGGTTGTAAAAACAGATTTAATTGCCAAACTCCTGAGGTTTCTTTAAGCTACAACCTATAAACTAAATGCAAGACACTCAAAGCTTATCAACCATTTGTCTGAACAAAAGAATGTCATATTTACACCCCTTTTAAAAAAAAAGTAAGTTAAAAAGTACAAGAATATAGAATTTCAACTTAAAATGCAATTCTGCAGCTCAGCCTCCTTGTAACCTAGTACTGACATCTCTACTTTCTAGTAATTACTTAATCTAAACATCAAGTAACTTAATTTAGACACCTCAAATCAGAATTTTAAAAGTTAAACAAAATACCAAGAATATTTTCAGATCAGGAAATAAGCAAAAAAAATGTAAGCCTTGCTGGATACTTATATGTCCTTCACAACTTTCAGCTTTATTGTTAAATTCACAGATAACGTTTCAGTCACTGGCCTCTGATGATTCTCTTAGTGGGATTCAAAAGCACCTGATTTTGTATATCATTCCAAACGTCCGCTGGACCAAAATGATGCAACGCTAAATAAATACTCCAATCTCAGACTATTAAAGAAAAGGATGAGACAGATCTTTAGCTAATTCTATAAAACCTACTTTGAATGAGCTAAGACAAAAAGACTTAAGAATCATTCAAGCCACCTGAGTACTACATACATATGCAGAAATGTATGGTAGAGAAATACAGCAAATTGGGGAAAAGTAAAGCATTCTCTATTCTATTCAGATTCTTATTCTCTGCACATCAATATGGTAGCTAAGTATCTCTAGATAAGCACACTGACTCTTAATTGTAGGTCAGCCAGAAAAATCAAGTAGCTGCAAAAAACCCAAAGCTCTGAAATCAAGAACTGAACTCTAAATGGTGAAATCTCAAAGGACAAAAAGCTACTGCTTGCTTTAAAGGAAAAGTATAATATACAATTTAGATTTGGTTTTCATTATTGCAGTCTATTTAATACAATACACCTTTGTAATATAATACAATATACAAGTTATAGCTGCACGTGCCCAATAATACTGTATGACAACAGCTTACAGATTAACATTTTTAGTTTGAAAAGAAGTATGTTGCTATCTCCACATAAAGGTGGTTATCAGACCAAAGAAAGGTTGTAATGGGGGGCAGAATCTGACTCATGTGACTCATCTGCCTTTCTATAGAACTTCTAATTTACTTGTCTTTTTATTTCTTAAAAATTTGTTTTAATGTTTGATGGGCTCATTAAGTTACCTAAGATGTCGGAAGTTGCAAATTTATTAAGAGCAAAATTATGGCCCAAATAAAGATAAGAATGACAAGAACAACGTATTTAGTCTGTGCCTTCCTGTGCCCTGGCCTGAGATGTTGTTGTCATCTTGTCTATCTTCATTGGGCTCGTCGACCTTTTCCACAGCGTAGCAGAGCAGATCCCCCCATGAGCTGATGGAGTCACTTCATGTGAAATTCCGGGCAATGCAGAACACATTGTCCTCACTGGAAGGCAAGGTAGAGAATCTCTCATCAAAAGCTGGGAAACTAGACAAATGCATGGTGAATGTGGAGCAACAAATGGAGAAATCAGAGGCCAGGACCCTAAGTCTGTGAAAAAGAAATTGCTGAGAATAAATCTGTGAGTAATATGATAGTTACAACTGCTGCTCTTTAGAATGAAAACTGGAGATACAGGGGTGGAGGGAAAGAAAGACTAAAAATATCCACGTCTTGGACATCCTGGCTACGAAAAGAGACCCCAACCTCTGAATTGGGTGTGTACACTAATCCCTTAGTTTTCGGACATGAATGTTAAAGAAGATATCAACAGAGTGTAATTTCTACCACTCAGGAAACTGCTCCAAATTGACACACAGAGTGAGAAAGACAACAAATTTTAAATTTCAAAGTTATATAGTTTTGGATGAATCCAAAAAAGAAAAAAGAAGTATTTCATAAAGGATCCAAGATTCTACTGTTCCTAGATATCTGTCCAGCAATCCAGACCAAAAAGCAGGAACCAGTATCACTGAAGAAGCAATTTGCAAAAGCAGTAGTTGAAGCTGAAGGAATCTGTATCTGGTCAAACTAAGTGAGTCAGAGGAATTTATGTATCTATTTTTTTCAATTTGGAACATTATTTCTAATAAGCAAGTTCTGGAGAAGGCAAGATCAGAGAACAGTTTGGACAGCATGAGGCATCAAACAAATGAAGTTTGCTCTATACAGGAGAATCGGTGTAAAAATGAATTTAAATAAAAAGAATACTCGGGCCCAATTTTCTTCTCATTTACACAAGTATATCCCCAACAGGTTGTGCATGTTTAACAGAGCACAATTTGGCCCTTTGGGTTTTTGATATCTTTAGAAAATAGATTTAAGTTTGTTTCACATGGGCCTATATGCCTACTGGACCATATTTACATGCAGTGCACAGCATAGTTTGTTCCTGCTGTGAAGTGCTTCATGTACACTATCTAGGATGTAGCAAAGTCAGAGTTAGTTAGCAGTACCACCTTTTCAATTAATGCTAAAAAGTAATACTCAATCTCTAAATTCATTTTGTTCTCCTCAAGACGACAATCTGATACTTTTAATGAAAATCTATAATAGTCTCTCTTGATATAAGTTTGGTAAGTTGAGATAAAATTAATAAAAAGAGACTTTTTAAAAATGTAATGAACCTGTAGTTAATAAGATACATACTTTAAAAAGAGTGCCAGGGAGGGAAAAAAACAAAACAAAACAAAACACCACACCTTTTGGCAAACTACAGGCTGCACAGGAAGAAAGAAAGAGCTGCCTGCCAGCAAGGGAGGATGCTGAAGTAAAAGGTCTGAATGTGCGCACTTCCAGAAAAAGCTGCTGCAATAAAGAACAATGAGTTTGTAACATACTGAACCTGAGCTCCAGTGAAACCTTGCACACTGAATATCATAGAAGAGATACTGTGGAATTTGTGTATCACACATAGTATGTTATTCATAGCTAATCTTCCTCAATTTTATTTAACTAGCTAGCTTTCCAAGACATTTCTAAATTGTAACAAATGACCTTCTTATCAAAATACACTGGCCTGGAAAATGTTGTAGAGTGCCTATGTTTAGAACTATGCTACCAACTGTTCATTGACAAACTGTGCAACAAGGCTAAATCCCTATAAGCAATAACTGCCCTTATTATAAACTACTCAGTCTTACACATGGCACTAGGAATCAATTTGATTAAGTTTGAACATCCTGAAAGGCACTAAGAAAAGGTGGAGCGACAATGGGTTCTATATTTTTTATTTTCTTCCTGTTTTAAACTGTGATTATGCTATTGCAAAACGACAAAGGGCATCTATTACGGAAGATATCTGCTTTCCATTTTTCTTCCAGGATCTGCTTAATTTATTGACATAGCCAACTTTTTACCGTTAATACTACAGAAACAACATAGTTGTGGAAAATCAAACTATTCTAGTCTACCTTGCACATCAACAAAATTACTAACTGTGGTATAAATTCTAATCCAACGCTATTCGTTGATTCTGCTGCTAATGTAAGAAGTGAAAAATAATCTGATTTCCAGAAATCAAGCTGAAATTAAATGGTTGTGGTTAGAAACCTCTTTAAACTTCTAAACTGAGAAAAATTAATAAAATAACTGGGAAAATAAATATGAAAAGCTATTTATTTTTAGTGTGCCACTTTTTTTCCATAGTAAACATACTTCAGATTGTATGAACACACCTAGTCTTAAATGCTGTCTTACAGTAATTTATTGTTGACACTTGTATATTGCTACTTCAGAACACAAAATGTAATAAAAACAGTTTCTAAAGTACTGTGGGAGAATGAGAAATTCTTTAATAATCAACAACAGATGCCTGTCTTTAGAGGGAACAATCCTGATAGTGAGAGGACAGAATTCATTGAATTCTTCAGGGGCTTTCCAGCAACTGAAATATTCTAAAACGAAGCTACATTAAGTCTACAGGTTAAGACATATATAGCTCAAAGATGTATACCTATATCTTAGCAGCCAATTTCTCATCGGTAACATGCTGGTGTTTGTACAGTTCTCCTATGCTTTCTAATAAGTCCTTTTAGCAACCTTAACTTTTGATATTTTGTACTGGATCCTCTGTGATATACTGTTACTCAGGTGCAAATGATCACAGATGGTCTATGTTTATCTTATTTTTCAAACAGGACATACACATTTATCAAAGCACTATACTTTATTCCCATCCCTAACCAAAAAGGAAATAAAAAATAAGTTACCCTAAAATATATGTCCATTCTCAACAAAATTAATTAGCAGAATGTAATGATGGCAAACTATTACAGAAGCAATTTATATTGTTGTCAGAGACCACTATCCTGTCAAACATTAATCTCTCTCTCTAAAGTCAGCTCAGTGAAAAATATTTATCCTTAATTTTTTATAACTTTAAATGAGAGATTCTTCATCAGCACTGTGATTTTAAAATCAGACTCATTTTTGTACCTGCTTTGCCATTCAATATCTTATTCTGGTAATATTGCCATTCCATCTGTGGGTTTGCACCAGGGCGCAGTGGTGCCCTTCCAGCACCTCTGTTGCTTGTAACAGCCACTGGTTTTCCTGTGAAGAATAATTAAGTTAATTAAAGTTCTTATATAATAAACATTTACAACAATAGCACACCAAGGCAAAGTTTCTGACAATGTTTACTTTAATTTTGTTCGCTTCTTTCAACACCATTCTTTCAGCGTTATCTAATCTTCTAGCATTAAGGAAGCAGCAGTTAAGGAAGTGACATGCATTAGAAACAATAGTTTAGTTAACTGGTTACAATCTCATGTCAAAAGGAGGAGAAAAGAGAAATCCTTTGAAACAAACACTAAAAATCCAGCTATGCTAGTTTGCGTATAAGGACTTGCCTAAACAGAAGATGCACAGCCTAACTAGCTATCTGATATTGTACCAATTTAGTCGAACCATTGCAACCTCTATGCATTGCCATCTTACATCAATTTACTTTGCACCTGCCATTTAACTAAAGTAAGCTAATGTAAACGAGGTTTAAACTGGTATAAAACAGTCCACACACAAAGGTGTAACAGTTTAACTAAAATGGTGAAAGACTTGTTAAGCCAGTCATAACTTTATGTTTAGACCAGGTCTAACCACTGACCATTCTGGCCTAACCTTTCCCCATTTTAATCACCTCTGAACTTTTCCATGCTTGTCTCTTTCAGGCTGAATTTTTTTGGAACACTTCAGCACAAACAGTGCAACCACTTCCATGAACAGGTTTAAAGAACAGATTGTATTTTTTTATGTTTGCAAATCTATTTTTAATTTTATATGTATAAATAAAATATTAGAAGCTCTAGCCTCTCTTTCCATAACAGAGATTTGATATTTGGCAGGGAGATAGCCCTGGTGTCAGAGAGGCACCTGCATCCCTATGAAAATACATCCAGATCTGGCAGACTTATAAACTTACAACATTTGCCATTTGCACAGTAGAGCTAACCGGTAAAATCTCTGAACATTCCATCTGCATTGAGCATGCTCACCAGCCTCAGTGAGTATGCTCCCTTGCCTCAATGTCCCTCTGTATGCACTTTCTCCCAGACCCCATAGCAAAAGGTCTGGACAGGTACAGCAGTAGAATATCTTTTGGCCTATGGGAAAGCGTACTGAGCTAGGACCAAGGAGACAAAGAGTTATGTTCTTTCCTTTTCCACTTGACTGCTCTTATTAAGCAAAAGGCCACATATCGCTTACCTTAGAAAACAGGCAAGCATCATTCTATTTACAATTGGGGTACAGAAACAAAAAACAAACAAAAAAATCACATTTGGTATCCACGCTGCCTTTCAAAATGCTTGTGCTAAATCTATATGATTATCTATGCTGTCTGTAACCATGTGACCACTTCCCCTTCCACAGCCAGGACTTAACCCAGGATTTCTGATCCTCAACATTCCTCTGCTCTCTGGCAAACAGTTGCATAAGACACTGGAAAAGATAACTGCATAGTATTACTACCAGTTACTCCTTTAGTTTATCAGGTAGGGATCTGTACTGTGGATTTACATCTTCTGCAGTCATAGACTGCTGATGACTCATGCAGGAGAGGTTCAAAATAGTTCCACATGTAATTTCTGTTCTTCAAGTTAAGCCCCCCCCCCAAAGCCTAGGAAATTACATAGGAAAAAATGTTCAAAGACCATTAAGAGTTGCAAAATCAGGCACCCCTAAATTAGGAAATACCTGAATTCAGGTTGCCTATGCTTAATAATAATAAAAGATAAGTCATCCCAACAGGGTTCAGATATAGCCCAGCTCTCCCCCCATTTCTAGTTTTGGAGGGGTTATGTATCTCCGTTTTTCACCTTTTCACACCTTTGGCTGCTGAGAGTGGGGAAAGTATTTTCTTCTTTTCCTTGGTACTAAATGCTGGAAAGAAGGCAGCAAGAATTCCACTCTGTTTCTTCCACATGTATTCACTGAGTGTGGGGCACTGAGCAATACAACCTGGCAATATGAGCAGTGCTCTCATACCATCGGGCAAAGTTATTAGAAGAAAAGCACTCACCAAATCAACTTTCCTTGTTGTCAGCAAGTGCATTTTCAGTACTGTATAAGTGATTTTTGACATTTAAAAATATATGAAACTGACCTTTGAGATCAGGCCTATTTCGAATACCAACTGATACAAAGAAGCAATCCATATCCATGTGCATTATACAGCGCTGATGCTTGGATGAACTTAAGACAGAAACATTACCTGGTATAAACAAATACAAACAGAAATTTTGAAACCTAATTTACAATTTTTGCAGTATTCACGTTAGTCATCAAGGACTGATATAAGACGTTTCCAAACACACCGAAGTTATTTTTATAATATTCCCCACCCAACTATTAAACTGCCTTTAAGGAAAAAATAAATTGTATACTATTCAATGCACTAAAATAATAGAATGCAATATAACAACATTGTGGAAATGTAGCCATAAGTCTACTAAGTGAGGATTCATACCCCATGATTTCCTTTTTATGTTCTCAAAATTAAAATTCTTCACCTTGTTAAAACAAGTCTGTTTCCAGGAGTTTACTATATATACACACTAATAACTAAGTCTTAATATTCACCATGCTAAAATTCAATCTGCAATGGAATGCTTCTTCAGTTTTTGATCAAAGATCAGAGCAGTCATCATCTCTGCACAATCTTCTCTGTTCATTCAAAGTGTTGAATGATTTAAAAACCTTTTCTATAATGGGAATTTCAGTCATCAGTGTACCTACACAGGTGCAAAACCTAGCATAGGAAAGCAAAACAGCTATAAGCTGCGATTTACACTGATGCAGCTTACTCCTGCTTGAATCTGGGGTAAGCTCCATTAGATCAATTGTCACTTATAATAATTTCCCCATGTACACTATAGAATTTGAACTGGTGCAGTTACACTGGTGACTGGCCACCAACCACTGACATTGGAGCAAATCCCAAGTGTGGACAATACCTAACACTCCATCATGAAAAAGTATTTCAGATCAAGAAAACTGAATTGCTTCATTTGTCAAATGGCAAACAATGAGAGGAAATAAACTGTTTTTAAGGCCCTGTTTTCAAACATTTAATCATTTCATCTCATCTATCACCTGTCTTTTTATTTTTTTTAAAGAAAAGTATTGCTCAATATTATACAATTAGGGAAAACAAAGGAATACATAATGACAGTTTGATACCTTAAAGAAATAAAAATCTCTACTAGAAGTAATGGTCTGCCTTTCATCCTTAGTTAATTAGGAAGAATAGTTCTGCATGTTCAAGGAGATATTGCTAAAGATATAAGATGAAAAATAATATTTAGGCTACTACTATACTTTAAATATTTAAGTTCTGGTCATTTTGTTCTTTACGTGAATAACTTCAGTATGGCATCTGCATGCACTGCAACACACTTACAGAGCCAATTTTTGTTCTAGACCAGATGAAGAAGGGTCACAAAGATCCAAGAGCATGTAGCAGTCTTGCTAAAAAATTCTCATTTCGATTACAGATCATTTCCAACTGCTACTCAACTTAGAAATCTTCAGTATGAACTGTAAGAAGTAGCGAGTTAGATTTTCAAAGAAAAATGTAAGACCAAATACCTCCTTTGTTTGTATAGATAAAAGTGTTTATCCTCAAGAACCCAAAATAGCTTGGCAATCTCTGGAAGAATTAATTAATAATTCTACAGAAAAGAATTGTATTTACAACTGAATTTCATATTAAGTCACAATTTGCTTTTAAAATTAAAAAATGAAGGCGGCCCTTCAGACGTTCATTTATCAAAATCACATAAGTAGCTATTTCATATAACCTCATAACCTTTTGAATATAGAAAGCTCACATGTTTAATCTTGATCAGCTGCCTATCATAAGACTGAAGAAATAGAGAATCTTTTTAAGTAAAACCGTCAAACAAGTATCTACCTGTGTCAGCTATCATAAGTGCAGACCTGCCCACTTTCAATTTTTTTAACTTTTCCCTTCCCGGAAAGACACCATTGTTTTTTCTCTGCAGGGTATTGACAAATTCTGTCAATTCACACTTCCATGTAGATATGTGATGCAGTCTTGAACGAGAGTAAAAGTCAGAAATAAAACTGCAGTCTAAAGGTTTGGACAATGATGAGGGAGTGGCCTTGCTATGAGTAGGTACTGAAGAAGTGCTTTTTGTGCTTAAAGGCCCCTGAACAGTGGAGTGGTGAGCACCATTTATTTTAGTATTACTGTGCAAAGATGAAGATGAGAATGAATTACTCGTAGTCCTATGTGGGTTCTTTAAAAGATCTGTGTTTTTGTTGCTTTCCTGCAACTGCTGCATAGTGCAGTCTCTAAAGTCAATGATGCCTTTTTCAGTCTTCCCCTTCTCTGGCACAGAGCCTGGAGATAACCTGCTTGCAACTCTATTGCCATAGGGCATCACGCAATCCTGTGTCTGTAAGGCACTGGTAGAATTATGAGCATGTCCATTAAAAATGGCAGTGCTGTCTCTGTGATGCTGAATTCCATTTTGTTTCCTCCCAGGAAAGACCTGCTCCAACTCCATAAAGCCTAAATCTTCACTTTCTTCTTTCTCTTCCTCATTCCAGCTACTGATGCCATTGGCTTTGGTCTCATTTTCAGTCTCATACTTTTTTATTACACAATTTCTAGAACAGACAAGAAAATGTTATTTAATAACCTTACAAAAAACAAAGATACAGTTCATCAAGAAATAATTTTAAGTGTTTACATATACATATACAAATAACATAGATAATTTAGGGATTCTGAATGCTCACATGCAAACTCCTGCTAGGTTATTAGAGGTAGATGATTATATGACTTTATTACTAAGTTTGAACTATGATCTTTCACCATAAAAAGTCAGTATTTTTGGTACAAAAAGCTTTTGTAGATTCGCTATATTATTATTAATATAAGAGTTAAAGGTCACTCCTGCATTAATCATGCTCTCTCATTAGTAAGGCAACTTTCTCTGGATTTACAGTAAGCTATATTTGACGAAAAACCATGAGCAACACAGTAATTTGGATTTTTTTTTTTTTGGAATCATAACCATACCTTGGACAGCACTAATAATGTAAGGTTGCTGGAAGGGAATATCTTCCATTTTATCCCAAAGATGCAATTTTTACACTCTTTGTATAATAGAAAATGTTAATTGCAAAGATCAAAAACGTATTTCTCCTTTTTGGAGGAAGATTTAGGATAGTTTGTGGAAATCCATCTGGTTTTCTCCTAGCTAAAACTTGTTCCAGATCTATAAACTCAAAATAGTCACAGCTTTTGGAGATTTGTTTTCTTTAAGAAAAACTGTTTGCATGTTATGTATGTATAAAAATAAACAGTAAGTGTTGTCCAGTATATTAGCTGTTTACTTCTTCCTTGATACCGTGAAGACAAAACTTTTACCTCAAAGAGTAATACTATAACAATACCAGTGAATATAAGTGTGATTAAAATTAGACTTTTCAAGAGTTAAGAGGATTCTTGGTCTATAGAAAAACCTAAATACTTCCACAGAAAGCCATTTTAACAAACATTCAAAAGGTGACTGGTAATTAGCTATTTGACATGCAAGTAAAACCAGAAAGCTAATTAGCTGTGATAACAATTCATCTAAGATTACTGCAATTACAATAAACTACATTAAACATATCAACAATATTTTGGAATAGCTATGTGTTTGGGAAGCTGTTTCCCAGTGGCACTGACTTAATATAGTCATAGTATACAGTAAGTTTTAAAATTCAGAATGGTTATGTTAGATACTTATGAAAGCCTGGATATTCTTTTCATCCCAAAATTATTACGAACGTAATATTAAACTAGGGTTTAGGTTACTATAATATCACCTACAGATGAATGTAAGCAAAAAAGAAATGCTTCGCATGTACATACAGTAGGAGCTCTTTCATCTGTCACCACTTAATCCTCCTTCAGCACCGCTATGCAGGATTAGATCTACAATCTACTAAAACAAGTATTAACTGACTTTTTTATGTGACATAGAGGAACATAAACTACCATTCTGAATCTGATCTGGGGCCCATCTAATCCAATATCCTGTCTCAGACTATAGCCAATACCAGATGTGTCAGAGAATTCTGCGAGAGACATTAAAAATGGGCAACTGTGGAATAACCTGTCCATAGGGGGAAATTTTTTCCTAACCCCACTCACTCCCAAATCAGTTAGAGACTGACTTGTATCTACAAGTGGTAGGGTTTATTCCCCTTCCAATTTTGTTCTTTATATTTTTTAAATCCTTTGTAATATATTTTATTTTCCTTATCCATATAAATGTCCACCCTTTGAGTTTTGCTAAATTCTCAGATGGAAAAATGTCCACAGGCTAGTTATGCACTGCAACATTTTGAACTTATTTTTTTCAGCTATATTCATTTATACTTGCTCCAAAACCTTTACCAAAAGAATAATTATCTCAATTTATTATTCTTTTTAAACCAAAGACCTAATTTCAGTATCACTGGTCAGATTCTCTTAATGTGTGCAACACACACTGTTTCCATAGAGCTGTGTGCTATACGCATTGCGTCCTACAGTAGAAACATTATGGAAAAGTGTGGTTCAGGGGTCAAGGCACTGGACTCAAAAAGAGGATAACTATGGGACCCTAGACGACTTATTTCATATCTCTATGCCTCTGATTTTCCATCTGTAAAATGTGGATGACACAACCTCTTTTGTAAAATGCTTTGATAAGTGATATAATGCTATATAAGTATTATCATTTTAAACTGATTACAGCCGACCGATCAACAGCTTTGTCAGTATTAACAGACTGAAAACACTTACACCCTGTTGTTGAGCTCTTTAGCTATATTGCTAGGACCTGGCATAGGATCTTCAGGTTTGCATATGGTACTGAAGTTGAGACCTTTCTGAACACTTGACTGCTTCGTGTAAAGCTGATATGGAATATATGAGAGGAGATGTCCAGCTTTTATGCTGAAACAGAAAAGAAGCAAAAGTTTATCACTCAAGGCTTTCAGAAAAATATGTAAACTAACATTATCTTAGTTATAATAGGCTAATACTTTGATCATTACAATCTGCTGTCTTGCTATACGTGGTTTTGTCTGCAGTCCTTTAACTGTCCATATATTTCAGTTGTGTTATCTGAACCTTTAAAGAGTTGATGTATTGCACCTAAATGGGAAAAATTGTTTTAAATTTTAAAAAAAGTAAGAAGTGCAAGCTATGAAATGAGGATAGAATAAGTAGGATTACAAAAAAATTGATAAATACTTTACACACTCTGAACTGCTAAAAAGAATTTTAATGATTGTTCAAGAAATCTAGAAAGTAAGCATATAAGATGTGAAAGTCACTTTTTTTTATTTGAAGTAAAATAGACCAAAATTAAGCACACTTACAATAACTGCTGTACAACTATAGCCAAAAAGGTGCAACAAACATTGATTCATCAGATTTAATAAAAAAAAGCAAGTAGCTTTAAAAGGGGTCAGAACATAAATTTTAGTTTATTGGTCTGATAGACATCAGTACTTCAGTTCCAAATTCTGGACTTTAGGTACTGCATATTCACAATATAATAGAAATGTTATCAATTAATTGTCTCAGATCAATGCTGTGCTGGGAAATCCATTTAACTCTGAACACTGTAACAGACAGATGCACTCCAGAAAAAAAAAAACAAAAAACAAAAAACATAAAATCAGAGATAAGCATTTCACTAGGATCTGATTCAACTTTAAAGGGTTCCCTCAGCTTCTGCAATTCTACAGGCTCAACTGTCCCATCCTGTAAGGGAATACACTGGTAGGGAAGAGGAGAAAGCCTCCAGAGGTTCTTCTCATGAAGATTTGACATTGATCATTCCAGTTCCATGCTTCTGGTATGCCCTGTCTCTAACCCAATTGCACTGTTAGGCCTTGGAGAAGCTGGTAGCTTCCTCAGGAGCCCTTCTCCTTTAAAGTGGGATCCTGACAACAAAAACCCACCCAGAATGAGATTTTTATCTTTCCTTCCTGATCTCTTTTCGTGGTGGTGAAGGAGATGATGTGCTCCCTTCCTAGCCACTACCCCCCACCCTGACCACAGGAAGAGATCTCCATACTGCACTTTGGAACAGAGGTGTTGCTGATGTGGAAGTCCTTTTTACCCCAGGGAGGGGTGAGATACATATGAGAATCAAGTAATCAGACTAGATTCAGAGCTTTTAAAGAGAGGACACACAGAGAGAGATGATTTATCAAAACTATTTATTAACACCTCAATACTTTTTTCTCCATGATATATTTCCTAACTAGCTGAGACTTGTACTCTATTAAGGAACTTGGCAGGGGAAAAAGTCTCTATTGGCTGTCATGTTACAATTAGGGAAGAATGTAAAGGGAGATCATGTTACCCAATTAGAGAAACAAACTAGTTAGCATTTTTAGAGAGAACTGGGAAGGTTTCTAGGGAAAGGTGTAATCAAAGCAGCTACAATAGAGAAAGTCCCCGAAACACATGAATTAAATACATTTTGATATATTTATACCACTTAAATGATATTCCTTTATGAATACTGTGAATTAAATGACATTTCAAACCTTTCAGGTATAAAAAATGTTGGTGCAGCAACCAAGCATTTATACTCCTGAAGTATGAAAATTTTTTCATATCATCACATGAACCTGAATAACCCAAAGTGACAGTCACAAAATTATCCTGTCAACTTTGAATACAAACACAGTACTTAATACTGGTATTTTCTATGCTGAGATTTTAGCCATTGGTGTAGCTGCATCAGTCACGCACCTATCATTAACACTGTATTATACTGCATTAACCGCTAAAATCCCAGTGTAGACAAGGCCCCAATAGGTATGTCTAGACTGGCATAAGTCTCAGAGCCCTTGTCTATAGACCTGGTCTCATACTATTGCGGTAAAAACAGCTGCATAGATGCTTGGGGTTGGGCTGAAGCTCAAAGGTCTACACAGATGTTTTTAAAGCCCTAATGCGAGTCCAAGTCTATAAACCCAGGACCTGAAACTCTCTACCACAAGTTTTAAAATGCAGTCTAGACAGACATGCCAATGACCTCCTGGAGTAATGAATTCCATAGGCTGATTATATGCTTCATAAAACAGTATTTCCTTTTATTATTTCCAAATCAAACTTACAAAATTGCCATGAAAATGTATTGGCCTAGGGACAACATCTATTATCCCACCCTTTATTATTGGGGAATAAAGTGTCTTTTTATTAACTCATGGGGGGGGAGGGGAAGGGAACAAACCCTACCTAGCTCTAGGGAAGAGAGGACCAGAATTTTGTGAGGCTATTCAATCCTTTTATTTCCAGTTTCTCCTCCTTCTTGTATTATAGAACGAGATTTAAAAAAAACATAGGACAAGTTGTCAATTTCCACTGTGTCCTTAGTAAATATGAATACTGCAATTCCTCTCTAACTTCTCACTTCCAGATGAAATCTCAACTTTTACAATCTATTTTCATATTTAAAACCACTAATCATTTTTGTATCACTATATTCAGGATCTTTATAACCTCTGCTACATCTTTCTTTTGAGATGTTCTCCAGTTTTTCAGACGATGTACCATTATTTTGTAAAACAAAATTTGTATTACAATACAACATCTATTTCAATGTGCTGAAACATCCTATTTCCTTCAACTGCTGAAATGTTTTGATAACTTCAGCTTGTGTATTGCTTTACATTTATACCTGATATATTTCATCTGCAATGATGCTCCTCAATTCCTGTGTGTGTTAAAATCTACCTAGAATGTGTCACAACCCCCTGAAGATTTTACTAATCTAAACAATTAAGTTATCAAACTTCAGTTTTCTACTTACTTTCTCTGCCAATTAAGATTCTGATCTTTCAAGGTGCTGCATTCTCAATTCACACTGGAGTCACTAGGTGCCTCAAAGGATCAAGCCGTTATATATTAACAGTCTCAACACTTAATTTCAATGTACTATTAATTGGTCTTTATAGTAAAGAACTGTTCATGTTTACTTTTTTTTTTAAACACACAACTTAACCAATTTTTAAGCTCGCCATAATATTTCCTTTATCCCATCATTATTTTCTAAGTGTTTCTCATGAGAAGTCTTATTAAAAGCGGTAGAAAAGCCAAGTATATTATGTCCTTCCAGTCAGTATTTTCCATTTCATTACATTTTCCAAAGAACTAATATGTTGGAGAGACATAATATCTCTTAAAGAACTTGAACTGGTTTGACTATACCAGCTTATATTTATTCTAGTATTTTACTTTATGCTTAATTACAAAATAGGAGCAGAGGTTCCCCCTGGAAATTAGGTGAATCTCACCAGACTAATTTCTGGAATCTCTTGACAACATTTTTAAAGACATGTATCATGTTGGCAAATTTCCAACCTTTAAAAAGATGTGGTTAGAATCTCTCTTCTTAGGGGTCTTCACTATTTCCTTTAGAATGATCAGGTTGAATTAGGTTTAGGATTAACTCTGCTTACATCAGATCTTGGAGGCTCTGATCCAAACTGTCAGAGAACACTCACTGATATGTAGATTTGAAGACCAGAAGGGACTATTAGATTACCCAGCCTGACCTGTATATCAAAGGCCATTAAAGTTCATCCAGTTACCCCTGTATTAAGCCTCATTACTTATTTGACTAAAGCATATTTTCCAGAAAGGCATTCTGTCTTGAAAATAGCAAGAGGTGGAAATGGTAGTTTATTCCACTGGTTAAATCACCCTCACCTGTTCCAAATTAACTACTTATTTCTAATTTGAATTGGTCTCTCTTCACCTTGCAGCCAATAGCTCTTGTTATGACTTTCTCTGCTCTCAGATTAAAGACCACTCCTGCACCCAGTATTTTCTCCTCCATGAAGGTGCCTATACATTAATCAAGTCATCTCTCAATCTTTTTGACAAGATAAACAGACTGAGCTCCTTCTCCAGCCCTTGAATAATTTTTGTGTGCTTTTCTGCATCCTCTCCAATTTTTCAACATACTTTTAAAAATGTGGACACCATAAACAGGGGAAGAGAGGGAAGGGAAGGAACAGGCTTGTCGGTCTGCTGGCCAGAAAATCTCCTGTTAATCTGTTGCCTCCCATCATCCTGTTGAGGGGGAGTCCTGAATCTATAGTCCTCCCAAGAAGTGAGAACATACAGTGAGAACTTCTTGCATAAAACAGGAACTACACAGGACTGAGCTCCCTTCCAGTTGGCATAATATCCAGGGGATTGGGGCTAGCCTCCTAATAGCTAAAGGAAGGCAGAAACAAAGATGGGGGAGGGGGCAAGTAGGCAGAAATAATGAAGCTGGAAGAAGGCATAGGGCAGTAAAGCAAAATTAGAGTGTTTGGGTGTCCCTTCCACTTTCATCCACTGCACTGCCTGTTCCTCCCTGACTCCCAAGCCAGCGGATAATAGGGAGTGAGGAACCCCTTCCCTACCTTGCATGGGGTCCAAGGAAGATATATGGGACACCGCATTGGGGTTCTTCACTCCCCAGGACTACCTCCTCCATCTCTGAACCCTGACAAGCTTTAATGGGCACTTCAGTGTTCAACAAGCCTATAAGGCATGTCAGCCCAGATGAGCCTGACACACCATCGTACAGGCAGCAGTTGATTAAAAAACCTACTCAGGCTCATGGGTGGCACATCAGGGAGAGGGAACTTTCAGTCCTTATGAGTAAGGCTGCGACTCTTTCATGGAAGTCACGGATTCCGTGACTTTCCAGGACCTCCGTGACTTTGGCAGCTGCAGTGGCTGACCTCAGGGCCGCCCAAGCAGCTGGGGCGGCCCTAGGGCCAGCGGCACCGGCTGCTGCTCCATCGGCCCCAGGCAACTGGTCCCAGGCGCTGCCTCTGAGCAGTGGTCCGGGACCGGCGGTAGCGAGGCCCCATGCCTCCCCCTACCTGGAGTGGTTGGGCCCCGGACCAGAGTGGTGGCAGCAGGGCCACAGGCCACCCCAAATCTGGAAATATTCAAGATTTTTTTTCAAAAATTGCAATTTTTCTAGTGTGTGGTCTGATCAAATAAAAAACAAATTGGATTGTAATAAAAATACAATACTCAATTAAAAATAAAACCATAAATCAATCCTAATACCTTTCAGAACGTAGTTTTTCTAGACATTTTCTTTTTTTAAAGGGAGAAGCCACTCACACTGAAGTGAACCAAATGCAAAATGAAACAGTCAGATCACTATCCTTCTAATTTTACCTTTCTATGATCCATTCTGGTCGAACCACCTTTTCCCCTTTCAGTTCTTTTATTTTGGCATTTGGAAGATTTGTGGCAATGATGTGCGTTGTTTTAGCTCTGGAATAGTACACATGGTATTGGCCACCATGCAACATTATTAACCTCCTTAATTCATCAGCTGAAGGATCTGTAAAATTAACAAAAATCCAACTGTAAAAGTATTCCTGCATGAGAACACTTATGGAACCATGGAAACTCAGAAATCTAAAACCATGGTTGATTACAATGCAAAGCAACGTTTTTCTGAAAATCCACTAATTTCTTGAGAGACTTAAGCCATTTCTTCAAAATACAAGTAAACAAAGCCACCGAAGTTTAGGTAAATTGTCGTTTCTGGAAAGACTGCTTCAAAAACAAAGATTTCATGATCAGGTTAATTTTAAAATGTTAAACAAGGCCCATTTTACACAAGCATCAACACACAACAAAATCGGATGAATTTCGTCCACATCTTTTGATTGGTATTTTCCCATATGCATTTAATGAAATGCTGTATACAGCCTTGATGGAAAGCAGTTTATTCCTAGGAAGTAAGGAAAATTACTTGCTTATAACTCTTTTTGATATTATCACAGGATTCCTAATTTTGAGATTTCAAGCTCAGGTGGAAAACTCTCTCAAGCTCTTCAGCTTTTGGCTCTCTGAAATAGTAGTAGTTGAGGAAAAGCCCACTCTTTTCTTACATGCACTGACCAACTGCCAATACGTCAGTTCCAGTTAGAACCTGCCCAGTCAATTCCTGAATTGTATAGAAAGCAAGGGATTCCCTAAAAATTAAAAACCAATCATAAAAAACATAACATTTCAGAAATTAAAAGTAAAATTTTTCGTGTGTGTAAAACAATAATTATTCTTAAGGAACAGTCAAAAATAAAAGGCTACTACCTCAAAAACATTTTAAAAACCCAAACTGAAACTTCTGAGTTGTAAGGGGAAGGGAGAGGAAGTCTACCTGAAGATATCTTAAAAGAAGAAGAATTATAGGTAATTTTTCCAATCTTTAAAGCAGTGGTTCTCAAGCCAGGGGGTACATCAACTCATCTAGATATTTGTCTAGTTTTACAACAGGCTATATAAAAAGCACTACCAAAGTCAGTACAAACTAAAATTTCATACGACTTCTTTCTACTGCTCTATATACTATACACTGAAATGAAAGTACAATATTTATATTCCAATTGATTTATTATGTAATTGTATGGTAAAAATGAGAAAGTAAGCAATTTTTCAGTAATAGCGTGCTATGACACTTTTGGATTTTTATGTCTGATTTTGTAAGCAAGTAGGTTTTAATAGAGGTGTAACTTAGGAGTATGCAAGACAAATCAGACTCCTGAAAGGGATACAGTTGCCTGGAAAGGTTGAGACCACCGTTTTAAAGAAAACACACACAAAATATTTCAACTAATTGGCCCCATCTACACTAAAAATTGAACCAGTGAGAGTGTACTAAGTGCCAGTGGTGCAGCATGGCCATGCCAGCCATGTTACTTTGATTTTCATTTCTGTTTCAGTTTTGCCTTGTGTAGACACTAGTGCTGCTCACCACTGCAGTTGTATTGTTGAATGGGTACCTATCCCATAATCCCCTGTACAGCTCCCTGAAACAGTGGCTTCTGGAAGATTTCAAAAAGGCTTCTGGATTTCTCTGTGGAACCCAGGAGAAATGTGTGCCTAATTCCTGTATATGAATCTTACAACCCTACTCCCCACAACACATATACTAACCTAATCACAGACCATTTTATTTTAATAGCCCCTTAAAAGCAACATCTCTCTCTTATTCCTCCTTATTCAATTCATAAGCCACATTGTCTCAGCCATGATGCACTGAAGAGCCCACCCCATCCACCAAAATGTAAATCTGATCATCATACCCCAAGTATCTGCTACCTGACAGTGTGACTGGGATACAGTTTGGAAATGCAAAGTTAGGATTATCCTGGGTGCAGAATTAAAAGCTCTTTAAACACTATATAAATATATTGGATTTCCAGATCCCTAAATTCAATTTCAATAATAATTCACATGATAGATGGAAAAACATTTACTGCCAATTATCACAGAATCATAGAAATGAAGGACCGGAAATGACCTCGAGGGTCATCTAGCCACTCCCACTGCGCTGAGGTAGGACCAAGTATACCTGGACTATCCCTGACAGGTATTTGTTTAATCAGTTTTGAAAAACCTCCAATGACAGGAATTCTACAACCTCCCTTGTAACCTGTTCCACTCCTTAACTAGTCTTACAGTTAGAAAGTGTTTCCTAATATCTAACCTTGCCGCAGATTGAGCTGATTACATCTTTTCCTACCTTCAGTGGACATGGAGAACAACGGATCACAATTATCTTTATAGCAGCCTTTAACATATTTGAAGACTTATTGAATTCCCCCTCTGTCTACTTTTCTCAAGACTAAATATGCCCTATTTTTTTAACCCTTCATAGGCCAGGGGTGGGCAAACTATGGCCCGGGGGCCACATCCAGCCCTTCAGATGTTTTAATCCAGTCCTCGAGCTTCTGCTGGGGAACGGGGTCCAGCGTTTGCCCCACTCTATGCGTGCTGTGGCTCCGCATGGCTCCCGGAAGCAGAGGCATATCCCTGCTTCGCCTACTACATATAGGGGCAGCCAGGGAGCTCCGCATGTTGCCCCTGTCCTTCCCATTGGCTGGGAACCACGGCCAATGGGAGCTGCAGGGGCAGCACCTGTGGATGGGGCAGCATGCAGAGCCCCCTGGCCGCACCTCCCGTAGGAGCCAGAGAAGGGACATGCTGCTGCTTCCAGGAGCTGCTTGAGGTAAGTACCGCACGGAGCCTGCACCCCAGACCCCGTCCCGCACCCCAATCCCCAGACCTGATCCCCCTCCCACCCTCTGAACCCCTCGGTTCCAGCCCAGAGCATCCTCCTGCACCCCCAACCCCTCATCCCTAGCCCCACCCCAGAGCCCCCACCCTCCCCACACACCCCAGTGGGCTGCCCCAGCCCAGAGCCCCCTCCCGCACTCTGAACTCCTCATTTCTGGCCCCACCCCAGAACATGCACCCCCAGCTAGAGCCCTCACCCCCTCCCACATCCCAAACCCCAGTTTCGTGAGCATTCATGGCCTGCCATACAATTTCCATATCCAAATGTGGCCCTCGGGCCAAAAAGTTTGCCCATCCCTGTCATAGGCCCTGTTTTTAAACCTTTTATCATTTTTCTTGCTCTCTTCTGGACTCTCTCCAATTGGTCCACATCTTGCTTAATAACAATGTCAATACATATAATTAAATGGTGAAAAAATGCTTACACTTGGAACTGAAAAATAAAAACAGATGCCAATATGGAATGTTTCAGTAGCCATTCTGATTTGATGGCTGATGGATATCAATTTAAAGCATCTTTCTTTCTTAAGTAGAGAAAATTATTAGCCCTAAAACGACTAATCAAGTTTCAGTTTTTTAAATTAAGCTTTCTGACTTGAGTGAAAAGACCCATCCAACTTAAGATTTCATTGGGAGTGTTCTGGTAACTCAAAACTGTAAGACCAAATTCTGCCGAACTTAGGAAAAAACTCCAGTCTGAGACCCAAGCTTGTAAAAAAGTTTCAAGTGGAACAATATTTTTTGTCACATTATGACTAGTTGAAGAAAATGATTTTGTATAGAAAGCCACCTGAGCCTTAACCATAACGTTCCAAGGAACATTTTACAATCATAACTAAATTTTATTTATATTACTGCAGATTCTTATTCAGCTATACCTATTTAAGGCCTGATTCTCATTTACAATAAGGCTCCTTTACACCTCACCAGCAGTTAAGAGCGGCATTAGTATAAATGAGGATCACTTAATGTTTTGGAGAAAAATGAAAACCTCACCTGTAAAGCCATTGACATAGATGGCAACTCCACTAAAGATATTGGATGAAATTCCATCCTTCTGATGCTGTATAGCCGCATCTGACTGGAATTGATCCTCCAGTTTCTGGACCTTTGCAGACATGTATCCTCCCTAGAATTTAAATAAAAGAGAAGTTTAAACATGAACCAAAGCAATGACTATTTTCACTTTCTGATGCCTAGCTACAAAACAGTCAGTTTCAACAAAACTGACAACTCAATCAGATATTCCCTTCTGAAAATAGTTGGTATAAATTTGGTTTTCCCTCCTGAAATACATTTTGGATGAACTGCAAAATTCATATGCGGTTTTTCCAAACCATGAGTAATACATTTAATCCAAACTCCTGCTGATTAAACAGTTGCACCATGCTAGCAACGTGGCAAGGCTCTTCATTTACTCACCCGGGTGGCAGGTGTTAGAATCCCACACAGAATGACTTTAGGTCTGCAGACCTGCTGTGAAGGTGTGGCTTGTTACCTCTACTCTGGCTGTAAAGGACATAGGAGTGGCTCTCTAAGGAAGAATGATCTAATTCAGAAGAAATTCTGGAGAAACCCTAGGGAAAGTCAAACTCAGGTAGGAAGCTTAGGCTGGGGTTTATGTTTTCTTATTGTTTGAGTTAGTAATAAAGTCAAATGAAAATTAATAAAGCCACAGAGCGTGAGTCTGGATGATAATTTATGATCTATGTGCTCTAAGGATAGGGCAAAGACTCAAACGCATTAACCTTCAGAGATTCCAAGGCCAGAAGGGGCCATTGTGATCATCTAGTCTGACCTCCTGTAAATACAGGCCATAGAATTTTCCTGAAATAATTCATGAATTCTTTCTTCCTAAATGTACATGACACATGGTGGTGTGGTATACACTTATCTAAATTTGGGTGCCTTTGTTATCACATGTCCAACTGTAAAGGATTTAGATGAAGAGGAAAACTGTAACTTCAAATCTCTCAAAAATGGACCTATCATATAATCTCCCCAATGGCAAAAAAGCTTCTATTCCTACTTTGCAGGGCTAAAAAATATCGAATGGTCCATTTTTGGTGTAAAGTCAATCTATTATTTTTTCCAAGGGTAGGGGTGGAAAGAAGAGTGGAGAAAACATTAATTCTTTCAGTAGGTTGTTCTTTTGTTTTTAAACTGGAGACTGTTGAAAGTTGCTCAAGAGTTTGGAATGTTAAAATAAGACCCAATGAATATGGACTAGTAAATAAGTGCAATTTATTGGATGCCTTTGCTGAACACCTCTGAAAGTCAGGACGTGTTTTTTGGAATGATTTGGAATGACAGTCTCTTTCAAGTGGAGAAAATACATGTGTGTGTGTGTGTTGAGGCCCTTTACACATTAAATTTTTTTTTAAAAAAATCAAAAAAGCATCAAGAACATTGCATTTATTTACCCTTTCAATAAAAAGCCTTTTGGTTTTAAACATACCCATATCCCCCAGCCATCGTCATTACTGGCTCGTTTCCTCCATCCACCCCGCCTCATAGTGAAGCTTCTGCTTAGGAAACAAAAAACAAAGGGTTGGTTGGTTTGTTTTTTAGCAGCATCTCCAATTCCACTTCGGTGATTGCATGCAAACAGACTGTCTTCTTCAATAACATACTCATGCACGTAATCAGAAGCTAAAATAAATGTAACAGTTGCAAATTCAATCCTAAGAAAAGTGAAATGTAAAACAACCCTTTATTTAGGAGCTGTGAGATGCTTACCAAAATTAGTCCTCAGGGTGCCTGCTACGTCCTGCACTAAATATAGTATTTTCTTCTTGCTACTACAACACAGCATTACAGTGTTAAGTATCTACAATAATTTACTAGACTTTTATTGTCCAACATACACCTTATATAGCACACCACTTCTAAGCGGTTTAAACAGGATTGCTACTATCCATGAACAATATTGCCAGTCAGCGATATATATTTTTCATATTTGATATCTAGTGCATCTTGGGATGCAGGTTCAATTTTCGTGGTATCAGGCACTGGTTAATTACACTAGTGGATTTACATCTAATCTCAAAGGCTGTTGATGCTTTTATGTAAAAACCAAAAAAGAACAAAAGTCACTTTTTGCTTTATGGAGTGCCTCTTGGTTAAAATGACAGTTGATTTACCCCCAGGTTTGTTCAGAAAAATCAATTTACAAACTAAGACCAAAATGTCCCTTTCTGTGAACAGCTTAATACTGGCATCTGAGCTATGCATAGCAATACCTCCAGGTATAGGAGGAGACAGAAATAGTGGTGAGGAGAGGGAATGTATTGGACTATGGCTCCTAAAAACACTGCATCCAAATAATCCACATTCACTAAAGCACTGATATTGATTCTGAAATATTGATGATTAATGTGGTGTGATTGCCGGGTCACTACCTAGAATATCACATCTGAGATTCTCTCAACCCATAAAGTGACTTTGCCTCTTAGGGAATATGCCCGTACCCCTGGAGAGGTTAAATAGAACCAAATTTTGACTTCATACTTGAATATGGTGCAGTCTTGCAGAAATATTTTAAGTTACGCTGATCACCTGGTTCTTGAGAACATAAAAGGGTTTTCTATTAGATTGCGTGCCCTTTAGTGGCCTGCAGGGAGAATGCCAGACCCCTAAAAGGCCTAATGGTAACCAACACCTTCCTGAAAAAACTCCAACTCCCATGAAGTAGTAAAAAGCTGCGAGCAATCTTGTGCTCAGATACACTAGTGGTGGGTATTTTAGGTAGGTTCTTTTTGTACATAACGTTCCTATATATCAGCAAGGTGGAGACTAACCTTATTGACATGGTCTCATAAACCAGGGATTCTATTTCATGAGCTGACCCTTTAGAACAACTTTTCTGAAGTCTTGTGACACACTAGACTTTTGACTCAAGAGATGGGAAGGTAATCTTCTACCAAAGGCCAGCAGGTCAGAGTACTACTACAATCAGGGGCAATAAAAATCAGACTTATTTTGTCTACTTTTAGTTTCATCAGGACAAGTGATCAGAAAGACAGGTATACATTAGGTGAACTCAAGAGATGGGGAACATGATGTCTGTCACACAAAAGCCCTCCTTTTCCTGGATTGGCATTACTGATTGCTGCAGATCTGCAAGCATTGAGATAAGCGGTCATCAGAAAAATTCAGATACATTTCCAACTTCCCTGGCAGATGGGACTCAGCCACTTCACTTGAAGTCTGAACGCAGGCTAGGCAAGTGGTATTTCAATGATTATCAGATGTGTTGTGCCCAGCTTGTTCATTTGACATCAGTGCTGTGGTCTTCAGGTTACAAGTGATCAACAATCTTCCCATTTGCAGCTCAAGGAGTTTGATGAGGAACCAAGATCTCTGGGATGAGAAAGAATCCCCATCCAGTCTTGCACTTCTGGCGATGACAGCTCGCCCAAGAATCCAGCAAAGGCATGCACCCCCTGGAGAAATTCATTGGGCTTCCTCCAGCAGCGCTGGACTGCTAGAGCTAAGGTAATCTTTCCCTGCACACAGAATCTACTGAGCCAGAAAACTAGGTGAAGGAAGGGATGTACATGTTTACTGGTTCAAAGGATCAGAGCTATGAAAGATGACATGATGCTCATTACACAGAAGATCAGCTGGAATGGATGTGTATTTGACTTCCTAATCTGAGCTGCTACAAGAAATGCTTTATCAAGCTTCTCCTGGAAGGGGTGGGGCGGGAGGAGAAGACTCTAGGGCTTGAGGACTGATCATGGGTGGACATATTTCAGAGAGGGGGTTAATTTCCTGAGGTTTATAATAACCCCTTCTTCCAGAAGCTCTATTGACCCCTGAATGGCTCTCTAACCCTTCACAGACCAAATACAAAGGCGGGACAGAATGTACCACATCTTCCTTTTGTGAAAAGACACCACCGAAACTACCATGAGCGTTAGAAAATGCTGCTACACAAACCACAAACAGAAACTAGGAATTATGATGCTCAGCACTCTTCTGGTCTCTCTCAAATACTTGTGTAACCCACTGGTAAAGCATGTGTTGTATGTCCCTGTATGAACTGGCTCACAGAGAGGATAACACTATACTTTCCCCCAACCAGTAACTCCTACCACTCAAAGGGAAAAGGTACGTGCTGTAGATCTGAAGGTTGTGGGTTCAAACCCTCCTGATTATCCATTTGAGGGGAGAGAATTTATGCATAAGTTAGTGTGAGAACTACAACTGAGCAGGAAACAGTTTTACCACCATATAGAATTCTGAGATTTCAAAAGTTTTCCCATTGTGCATCAGGATGAAACTGAGGCCATAAGTTTTTCACAAAAAGCAAGACAGAGCTGCCTCAGCCCCAGAACAGCCATCAGCCTGGTGGTTATGGCACTTACCTGAAATGTGGGAGACTGAGTTAGTTAGTTCCATGCTCAGCCTGATTTGGTGACTAGAGAGTCAATCTCTCTCCCTGGCCAAATGATTAATTAGTTATACAAGGGGGAAGAGCTCCAGCTGGAGACAGAGACTCTATACCCTGGTAGTTAGAACACACTGTCATAACTGGGACATGGGTAGTCTGACCTACTGGTTGGAACAGGAGCCAGGCTGGGTGAGATACCAAGAGATCAGACTGAGACAGGCCAGAGGGCAAAGCAGGAGTCAGCTGTCGGGAGGCAGGACCAGCGATTAGAAACAGGCAGAAGCAGCCATAAGCAGGGAAAAGCCAATTGCATAGATCATTTCCTGTTCCTGCACTTGGTTTAAATACAAGTAGGGAGACAATCAGACCCCAGGACTGGAGTTGTGGGCGGCAGGTATAATAGGGTCTGCCTCCCCTGGTGCTACTGCAGTCGTCGGACCCCAAGTTGCAGAGTTTGGTGGTGAAGTTTTTGCTTTATTATGCCCCATGCAGGTTCTGGGGCAGCTAAGGAGGCAGTATGTGCTATTCAGCTTCCTGGGTTCATCAGTAATCTCCCTGGACTGCAGAGAGATTACTGAGGAACCCAGGAAGTTGAGTAGCAAATACTGCCTCCTCAGCCACCCCGGAACCAGCATGCGGCATATCAAAAGTATCTCCGAAGAGACGCTTTTCCCTGGGGCGATGTGGTCTGGGGAGGGGAGGAGAGGAGAGAAGAGGTGTGTCTGTGGCTGGCCCGAGGCTCTTTCGGGCAGGGGCAGGGGGGCCAGGGGACTGGGCTTTGACTGGCCCAGGGCTCCTCTGTGATCAGGACTGTAGCTGGTCCGGGGTTCTTGCGCTGAATGTGGGGGTGGGCGGAAGGGGCAGAGCTGGGGGCTAGCCTCCCCAAAGGGGGGCTCCACCCATTGCCCATGACTAGAGTGCTCTGTCAGAGTTCAGCTTCTAGTTTTGCCAACTGTTAGCAGCTCACTGGGTGGCAGGGTGAAACTGACTAGCTCCTACAAGCCCTTTGGACCAGCATTCAAGAACTATGGTCCCCGACCCACTCATCTGGGATGTGGGACACCTCGGTCCAAGTCTCTGGTCTGAATCAGGCAGAGTTGGGACTTCAGCGCAAAGTCTCCCACAGGCTGAGTACCCTAACCATCAGGCTATTGGCTATCCTTGGTTGGTTGCATGTTTGCTCTCTCTCTGGTTTTGACTAGAAATTCCATCCTGGACCTACAAAAGTTTCACTGAAACTGGTATGTTCCCAGGAACTGTTTCAGTTTCAGTGAATTGGCATTTTCCCAACTAAAAAGGATTCATTAGAAAATTCGTAACTAGCTCTAGTAAGGAGTCTGGAGTAATTGTTGGAATGATTTTATACTCCAATACAATGTATGCAGAAGTGAACTGGGTGTTGTGTTAATATTAAGGCTGTCGATTAATCACAGTTAACTCACGCGATTAACTCAAAAATATGAATCACAATTCATCACAGTTTTAATCGCACTGTTAAAAAATAGAATACCAATTGAAATTTATTTTTATTTTTGGATGTTTTTCTACATTTTCAAATATATTGTTTTAAATTACAACAGAATAGAAAGCATACACTGCTCACTTTATATTATTTTTATTACAAATATTTGCACTGTAAAAACAATAAAAAAATGGTATTTTTCAATTCACCTCATCCATAATGCAATCTCTTTATGGTGAAGGTGCAACTTACAAATGTAGACTTTTTTTGTTACATAACTGCCCTCAGAAACAAACAATGTAAAACTTTAGAGCCTACAAGTCCACTCAGTCCTACTTCTTATTCAGCCAATCCCTAAAACAAACAAGTTTGTTTACATTTACGGGAGATAATGCTGCTGGCTTCTTATTTACAATGTCACCAGAAAGTGAGAATAGGTGTTTGCATGGCACTTTTGTAGCAGGCACTGTTAAGTATTTACATGCCAGATATGCTAAACATTCGTATGCCCCTTCATGCTTCAGCTCCCATTCCAGAGAACACGCTTCCATGCTGATGACTCATTAAAAAAAAAAAATGAGTTAATTAAATTTTGACTGAACTCCCTGGGGTAGAATAGCACGTCTCCTGCTGTTTTACCCGAATTCTGCCATGTATTTCATATT